TTTTCTATCCCAGATTCCTGTGATTTGCATATTTGATCATCATCCTGTTCAATGTCCTCATCAAGTCATTTATTTGTGAATAATATTACAGAGGACGAGTTTCTCTAGAGTTCTGCGGCATACCTAAATCATCTAGACTTACCTGTATTCTTTAGGTACAGTTGTATATCTGTAAAGCCACTTAACTGTAGCAAGATTCATGTGTTTTCACCTTGAACAGGGGTATCAAAGACTTTATTTTATACATTGCTAAAATCCAGAAATGCTGATGCTTGCAGCATTCCTTGATCAAATCATATGAAAAAAGGAAAATGAGTTAGTTTGGCTATGTCTCCTAGTGATCCCTGATGCCCTGTGTAACTACTCAAACTATTCTTTTATTTTTATTTATTTTTTTTACCAAACTATTCTTTTAATAACCTGTTGTAAGTCTCGCCCAGATTTCATGTCAGATCACTCTGGTGTAAGGTATGGAGAATATATGCTCCTCATTTTGAAAATTGCTACTGCAGACATAAAAAGCTGATGTGACTTTGGCATTTTCAGAATCATGAAATGTGTCTTAGTTTACAGAGTGCCATCATGGGTCTCAGCTGTACATTCTTTAATTCTGGTACACAATTTCATCCAGGTGTATATATTTCATTCCTTCACTTTTTGATAGTCTCCTTATTTATCTTGGACGTTAATCTAGTTTCCCCATATTTGGTCTTCTCTTTCTACTTTCAAAATAGTTTTTCTGTACAGGAAAGATAGAAGAAAGACAGACATGCAGGAATTGAGATGTTCTTCTGTCTCTGCTCATATTAGTTAGTGATACGCCATTTACATCACAGAGTGGAACTGTGCCTCCCTTACCTGTTTGCAAGTCTCAGCACATTCTGGGCTTCGGCTCAGGCTTGCTCTTCTGTGTATCAGTGCCACATTTAAAAAATAGTTTCTTTCCTCTTGTATGTACTTTTCTTGTGCATATCCTTCTAATTCTGAGTTAATGGGTGAGCTTTTCATCCAGTCTTTCTAGATACTTCCACTCGTCTCCCCCCTCCTTGTCTGATAATGTGAAATTGGCAGGACTTCATTTTTGACAATCTTAATCTTTTTGTGCTCCCCTTTAGCACCTTTCACCCTTGGGCTTGGGTCTGTCTTCACTGTGTGAAGCCTGTTCTTTAAGAGTCTAGGAATCACATCTGATGTGTTCCTTGTTCTTCTTCCTTGTCTGTTTGGCTTGGTTGGTTTCTTTTGAGGCTCCAACCACTTCCTCTTTTCTGATGAGTTTCTTCTTGGTCACATTAGGTTTAAAATATAATTCTACTCATTTCTTATTCCTTCTGGGTGAATAGAATAATTAGCAAGGCAATTTTTAAAATTATATAGGCTGGCTGCTTCTTAGTTGAATGAGATTTTTCATTAGATGTTCAGATAGCAAGAATCTTTTTTATCACTTTGAGACAGAAGGCTTCTAACAAGAAAGTAAGACAATTTCACCATTACTCGGCAATCAGGACATCTCACTGGCTTCATGTTAAAACTTGCAGAGCCATCTCCTCTCTTTGCCAGGTCTTCTCCCTGATCTGCTCACAAATCCAAGGAAATCAGTCTGCTTTTCTCTCCTCTTTAACTGGTGTTATGACCAGTCATTTACTGGATATTTTTTTCTTCTGAAGCTGACCTCAGAGTAGGGTATAGTCTCTTCAGTTATTGCCCATTTATGCTTATAACATAGGGATATTGTCATGGTTTTCAAATTTTTTTGTTTTTGTCACAATGGAGTCTAAATGAGGGTTATAAATAGGGAAGCTAGAAGCTAATGGCATCTTATTGTCCCGTGTTAGTTTCTGATTTCTTTAGATGCTGTAGATACCTGTCTCCTTGCTTCTCTTACTCAAGATAGAGCTCATCAAACCTCTCCCTCTCTGTGATCTAGGCTTCTTTCTGGAAAAGGGCATTCAATAGCTTGTAGACCTGAGGGAGAAGGTTAAACTATAGTTGTGAATTGATAGAGATCATTCAGAGGCTGCCTTATATCAAAAGGGTACCATATTTTGCCATGTGTAATGTGCACTTTTGCCCAATTTCTTGAGGGGAAAAATAAGGATGCACACTATACATGGGTAGTACTAATCCTGTATCTATATAAATGCTTTATTTTATTTTTTAGCAATTTTTAAATTTATTTTTTAATTTTAAAGATTTTATTTATATTTAAAGAGAGGGGAAGGGAGGGAGAAAGAGAGGGAGTGAAATATCAGTGTGTGGTTGCCTCTCGAGAGCCCCCTACTGGGGACCTGGCCCACAACCCAGCATGTGCCCTGACTGAGAATCGAACCTGCAATGCTTTGGTTCACAGATCGTGCTCAATCCACTGGGCTACACCAGCCAGGGCTCTATATGAGTGTTTTAAATTCTTTCATTTATGCTTATGCATTAAAGGCATAACTCTAGAAAGCAATAATGATATCTGTATACAAAGTAATACCCCAGAATATGATAATTAATTTTGTTGAACTTAATATGAACTTGCAACAAAAGCATTTTCAGCCAACAATTCAACCAAATTAAATGAAGACCTGGCTGGTGTAGCTCAGTGGATTGAGCACAGGCTTCGAACCAAAGTGTCTCAGGTTCAATTCCCAGTCAGGGCACATTCCTGGGTTGCAGGCCATGACCCCCAGCAACCACACATTGATGTTTCTCTCTCTCTCTTTCTCCCTCCCTTCCCTCTCTAAAAATAAATAAATAAAATCTTTAAAAAAATTAAATGAAGAGTGACGTATTGTTTATCCACGGAGTAAGATAGATTCTTGTACCTTGTATCTGTTCTTATGTTTTGTAATTATTTTTTACATAAAATTTCTTGTACCATATGTTCAAAAATAAATGCTAAAATTCCTTTATAATACAGAAAACAAGTATCTATAAATAAATAAATAATTGAATTAAAAATTAAGACAAAAATTTTTTTCCTGAAAGTTTGGGCCAAAAATGTAGGTGCACATTATACACTGCAAAATATGGTAATTTATACTTCAGGGGACCACAAAGCAGCTCTTCAGAGAATCCCAGTTATATATAGGGTAGATCACTTCTGATACTGTTATGCCTCCACTCTCAGGTGTTGATTTCTATTTAGCGATGCCTATTTTAAGAATATACTCAACTTACTATTTTTAACAGGTAAGCTTTCCATATCCTTGTCTTTGATCAGAGATACTATGAGATGTTGAGAATTCTAAAATGATCACAATGTATTAGGGCTGAGTATTTGGGAGAATGGAAACCATCAAACATATAAATCCTACCAAAAGTATTTACTAAACACAGAAAAGAGAAATTCCTTCAAATAGCTTATGTTTTATTGAGTGAATTAAATACATGAAGCAATTAGAGAATATAATAAAATGCCAGGTTACACATTGGTGGCAACTACTGAGAGTCCACCAGAGTGAGTTTTCTCAGTGTGCACTCAACTTACCTCTGGATGGAGCAGACTTTTCTGTATTTCCAAAATTGTTTCTGGTTGAATTTGTTACTGTTTTGGTATAAGCAGGGGCTTAGAACAGTAGGTACCAGTGACCGTTAGCCTCCATCTCTAGGAATATGGGACTGAGTGGTATTTTGTTCCCACAGCAGAGTAAAAGAAATTCAGTGTACCAAGAACATGAGTAATTCAGATATATTTGAGGTCTTTAGATCTTAAAGTCTCTGGTGAGAAAATACAGTTTTGTGTGTTTGCTTTGGCTATACTATTCTGAGTTACTTTTAGGGGTAATTTTAGAATCAATTTTAGAATTCCAGCCTCAAATTATAGTCTTTTGCTTAGTCATGAGGGGTTAGGTGTAATGCCACATTTTATTGAAAAGACTAGGAACTGTTGCTATATATTAACCTGGCTAGGCGCCGAAATTTGAGAAGGAAAAAAACACCCTACATTCCTAAAGGTTGAGCTGTTGCTATGTTGCCAAATCCGATTTGCTTTGATTCCTGGTAATCTTCACTAATCCTTCAAGGAATCATCAGATGTGATACACTTAAGAATGGAATAGCAACAAAGTTTCCCAAAGACTAATGTCTTTTGCTACACTGTAGCAAAAGGGGTGTGTGTGTGTGTGTGTGTGTGTGTGTGTGTGCTCTCACTGTCACTCTTTCTAAATATCTGATAACCGCCAGTGCTGCTAAGCGACTACCAGGTGGGTAACGTATTCGGAGAGTATGTTGGACAAAGGGATGATTCACGCCCTGGGTGGGACAGAGCAGAACAGCATGAGATTTCATCATACTACTCAGAATGGTGTGGAACTTAAAACTTAGGAATTGTTTATGTCTCCAATTTTCCATTTAATATTTTCAGACTGCAGGTGACCGAAACCATGGGGGAAACCGTGAATAAGGGGGGGACTGTTCTATGAAGATACTGTAGTTGGATAGAAATAAAAAACAATCTGACAGTAATCAGAGAGGAGGAGGGAGAGGGATAATAGGGGGTAATGGGGGGAGGCATGGAGGAACATGTTTGAAGGACACATGGACAAAGCCAAAGGTGGTGGGTTTGAGAGTGGGAGGCAGGAATGGGTGGGGCGGGGGGACATGGTGGGGAGAAAATAGAGACAAATGTACTTGAACAACAATAAAGAACTTTTTAAAAAAGATACTGTAGTTGGTACCTTTCTGAGAACAACTATATTGCTGAGTGTCCTAAATTGAGATTTTGGAAGTCTACATACAATTTTCAGAGCCCTTCTAGGGATACTTACGTTTCCTAGAAATGCAGTTTTCAGGCACTTAGGTAGTTTTCATAGTGAGTATCTGTCTTTGCTCATAGTGTTACTGTCAGGGGGATGTCATAGGAGGTAATCTGAACTGAACGGTTGGGAAGAAACCCCACAAAGTGAGTAGTATTTATGGCTTTATAAAGCAAATTGCAGTTAAATTTCTTCAATAATAAATGTGTTCTTGCACCTTTGTCAGATGTTAATGAGAGTCATTTATTTGTTTTATTTCAGTGATGTCCTTGCACTGCCCATTTTTAAGCAAGAAGAGTCAAGTTTGCCTCCTGATAATGAGAATAAAATCCTGCCTTTTCAGTATGTGCTGTGTGCTGCCACCTCTCCGGCAGTGAAGCTCCACGACGAAACCCTGACCTATCTCAACCAAGGTTAGGTGCCTCCTGTGCCTTCATTCAGTGCAGCCCTGCTGGATCCATGACGTTTAATTGGGCACACTCCATGTAAAAGCGCATTTTTCTAGTGTGACCTGTCAGAGTCACTGGCTTGCTTCAGATATTTGAGTTTTAATGTCATATGTGATATACACCATATTCCTGGCTTCTTTTGTCTTCCTGCCAATTTTCCGTTCCCATCTCCCTCTTTTTGTCCAGTCATGTTCCCTGGTTACTGTCGGAGAAGTACTACCCTACCCAGCATTCTTGCTTATCAGTTGTGTGGCCTTGGACATGCTACTTAACCTCTTCATGTTTCAGTTTCCTTATCTGTAAAAATGAGATTGATAATACCTCAGAGAGTTGTATCAATTAACTGGTATAATGTATGAAAACACCTAGCACTATGCCCAGCATGTAGTAAAGGATTATAGTTGTTGTTATCAATACTAATAATATTATACCCTTGTATATTTAATAAACTAAATTTTATTCTTTCTTTTTTTTTCTTGCCTGTAAGGCAGTTTATGAATACTCCTCCTGCATTTAACAACTATCTGTCATACCTCCATAAAGAAAATATTGTGGGTGTGTACAAACTTTCCTGAGATTCGGTCTCTGCTCTTCTAAGATAGACAGGGTTTTCACTAAGTTTTACTCTATCCTTAAATGATTTGAAAGACCCTTTCTACAATATATCACTTCTAGGTGATGTAGGTGACGTAGCAGAAATGACAGCAGCTGACACACATTGAGCCATGGAGTGCCGGACATTGTTTTACATGGCGTTACATGTATTCAGGCATTTACTCCTCTTATAGCCCTATGAGATGGGCTACTAAATCTTGTTCTCATTTTGTGGATGAGGCAACTGAGGCAAAGATTAACAAACTTGAAAAGGTCACACAATGGAAGAACTGGGTTTTATAAAATATTTCATTTATTTTACTTTTACTTTTTACATTATTCATTTACTGTTAGATGGAAGGGAAGGTGGGGAGAAAGAAAGGGAGAAGGCCTGTGCCCTGACTGGGAATCAGACTGGCGATCTTGTGGTTAGCAGACCAGCACTCAGTCCACTGAACCACACCAGCCAGTGCAGAACTGGGTTTTAAATGCAAGGAGTAGTTTGGCTTCCAGCTACATTGAATTACTGAGGAAAAGGACCAGGGCTAATGTATGACGTCTGTCTGGAAAAAATTCCAGCCATTAATAATATAACGAGAATGGTTTGTGTGGCATCAACGTAACCTGGCAGCCAAGGAGAGTGGACTGGAATGTGCATGTGTGAACAGTGATTTCACTGTACTAGTCAGTGGGGGCGGTAGACACCATTGAGTGAGCATGTGTACTGGGTGGACATCACATTCAAAATGAGCAAGTAGAGCAACAAATCTGCATCAGATTTTGTGTTAAGCTTGAGCATTCCTCTGCGGAAACTATTCAGATGATTCAGAAGGCTGCAGTTGTGGACAACTGGTGATTGGCAGCTTCATCACAACAGCGTACCCGCTCATGCATCATGTCGCATGCAGAGTTTTTAAGCAAAGCATCAGATCACCCAGGTGACTCAGCGCCCCCCTACAGCCAGATTTGTTGCCTTCCAAAATTTGGCTTTTCCCAAAACTAAAGTCATCTCTGAAAGGGAAGAGATTTCAGACCCTTGATGAAATTCAGGCAAATATGATGGGGCAGCTGATGGCAATTAGGAGAGTTGTATGAGGTCCCAAGGTGCCTACTTTGAAGGGAACTGAGGTGTCATTGTCCTATGTACAATGTTTCTTGTATCTTCTTCAGTAAATGTCTTTATATTTCATATTACATGGCTGGTGCCTTCTGGACAGACCTCGTATACTTTTATCCCACACAGAATCTAACATCACTTTCAAAGCTCCAAAAAGATAAACTGCCTTTTTGGGGGGTAGGTGTGTGGAGCAAGAAGAATCTTTATTCATTCAGTAACTCCAAGTCACAATTCTGTCTAAAAGATGAATACGTCCCATGGCACTGCAAGGACAGTGGTATACATACATATCTGTGCTTGGACCATTTTCTAGCTGCCCCAACTCCAAGCTGATTCTAGACATGTGTGTCACCTCTGAGCACCTCAGTCTGCCTGCAGGTAAACTGTTGGGGGAGGGGAAGCGTGCCACAGCCTGTGGTGTCATGGGAGTAAGGGGGTTCTCATCTTATTCCTCTGACAGCACACAGGTTCCGGTCTCCCCTGGGTATCCTTGGGCCCACCGCACACCTTCCCTTCCCCTGAGCTGCCTGCCGGTGTCTGAAGCTTGGGTGCACCTGCTAGTTCTTTCCCCCACCCTAGGACTCACGCGCCTCAGCCCACCAGCCCATCTGACAGAGCACAGTGGGCCCATACCCAGAATCCTCAGAGAACATTGCTCTCATAAAATTCAACTCGCTGCCATCACAACAACCCACACAGAAACTTTCCTCCCAAATGAAATTTTCCTTTCTGAATTTTGAAAGTTAATTATGATGAATATAATACATGATTACTTTTTCTTCTAGGACAGTCTTATGAAATCCGAATGCTAGACAATAGGAAACTTGGAGAACTTCCAGAAATTAATGGCAAGTTGGTGAAGGTAAAACTTATCACTATGTTTCAGGATAGTCTCCTGGCTCAGTGAAATTCTTTTTGTATGGTACAAAGTAAACTTCTTGAGATCTTTACAGAAGTACCAGTGTGTTTTTGGGTACCTGGTCTAGTAGTAAGGAAAACAGAAGCTAGTGTGGATGAGTAGCAGTTTTCTTTGTCTAGAGTGCTGGTAATGAACTCTCAGTACAGTTGGGACAGAGGAGTTGTCAGCAGCTATAAAAGGTGGTGAGAAGGAAATTAACAGGCACCTCTGCAAAGTAAGAGTAACAAAAGGCAAGTTGATAGAAACAACTTCTGCTTACTCTCAATGTTTACAGCTTATATCAGGGGTGTCAAACTCATTTTCACCGGGGGCCACATTAGCCTCATGGTTACCTTCAAAGAGCAGACATAATTTTAGGACTGTTTAAATGTAACTACTCCTTAACTGTTTAGGAGTTGAAATTACATTCGGCCCTTTGAAGGCAACCGCGAGGCTGACATGGGCCCTGGTGAAGATGAGTTTGACACCCCTGGTTTATATGGGGGGTTGGCGAGCAGAGGACTCGGTGGGGTTTCATGTCCATCTGAAGAGCCAAGCTGACTGTCAACTGCATAGTAACGGTGGGGGCATGCAGACGTGCCCCGGTAGGGGTCCTTTGTGTCTGGTTACCGTCAGGACTGATGTTTTAGCCAAACATGGTACCAGCCAAACGATAAAGATTATATTTGGGAAATTATAAAATTTACCTTAAAATAGAGCTTGGTATGGTATGGGTTTTAGAGTGAAATAGGTAACTCAGTTGATTAGAGCATTTTCCTGATACTCAAGGTTGTGGGTTCAATCTTCGGTCAGGGCACATACAAGAAACAACCAATGAGTGCATAAATAAGGGGAACAACTAATCAGTGTTTCTGTTTCTTTCTCTCCCTCTCTCCGTCCCTCCCTCCCTCTCAAATCAATAAAAATAAGTAAATAAATAATAGAGTGAAATAGGTCTTAAACAATTTTAGGTGTATCTAGAAACCAACCGGGGATGACTACTGCAATTTTTTGTTTATCATCATTGATTTTTAAGGGATTCTATTATCATTCGGTTTTGTTGTTTGCTTTTAGAGTATATTCCGTGTAGTGTTCCATGACAGACGGCTACAGTACACCGAACACCAGCAACTAGAGGGCTGGAGGTGGAACCGACCTGGAGATAGGATTCTTGACATAGGTGAGTTACGGGAACCTGCTGCCTAGGCAATGTCTGAGAAGTGATGTTCTTTACTTGATGTTTACCTTGGTTCATAATGCTTCACGGGCTCAGTTAGCATGGATTGGTAGTGGCTGTTGCCTAAGTATAAAAAAATTACTGGTATGGTGATACCAAAAGTTGGCAAGTATGGACACTTTGTTTCTCATAACAGTCATATCTGTTACTTCTGGGTGATTTTTTAAAAAAAATTAGGTGTGGTAAAATATACATAACATTTTAACTATTTTTAATAAGTTAAATAATCTAGTATTTATCTTTTTGTGATTAGCTTATTTCACTTAGTATAATCCTCAAGGTTTGTTTATATAATTGCATGAGTCAGAATTTCCTTTTTATGACTGAATAATATTCCATTGTGTATAGATACCGCATTTTGTTTTCCCGTTCACCCCTCAGTGGCTGCCTAGGTCAATTCCACCTTTTGGCTATGGCGAATGAATAATGCTACTGTGAACATGGATGTACAAGTACTTATTTCAGTCTCTGCTTTCAGTTTTTTTAGTAACCACCATACGGTTTGTCCACAGTGGCTGCCCATTTTATGTTCCTACCAGAATGAACAAGGGTTCTAATTATTCTACATATGTGCCAACATTTATTTATTTTTCTTTTTTTCTTTTTTTATATTAGCCACTTGAATGGATATGGAGTGGCATCTCACTGTGATTTTGATTTACATTTCTCTAATGATTAGTGATGTTGGGTATCTTCCCATGTGCTTATTGGCCATTTGTATAACTTTGGAGAAATGTGTATTCGAGTCCTGTGCCCATTTTCGAATCTGGGGGGTGGGGGTGGTTGGAATGCAGGAGTTTTTTATATACTCTGGCTGTTAACCCCACATTAGATATTGATTTGCATGTTTTCTCCCATTCTTGTGGGTTGTCCTTCCACTGTGCATATAGTGTCCTTTGTTAGACGAAAGTTTTAAATTTTGGTGTAGTCTAGTATATGTTTGTTTAAATTGCCTGTGCTTTTTGGGTCACACTTAAGAAATCTTTGCAAAATCCAGAGTCATGAAGTTTTTCCTGGTGTGTTTTCTAAGAGTTTTATAGTTTTAGGTTTAGATGTACATCCACTTTTTAAGTTCATTTTAAAGATTTTATTTACTTATTTTTAGAGAAAGGGGAATGGAGGGAGAAAGAAATGGAGAGAAACATTGATGTATTGGTTTTCTCTCACACGCCTCCAACCAGGATGTGGCCTACAACCCACGCATGTTCCCAGACCAGGAGTCAAACCGGTGACCTTTTGGTCCACAGGATGGTGCCTAACTCACTGAGCCGCCCAGTCAGGGCTCCAACACCATTTGTTGAAAAGACTGTCCATTATGATTGATAGCCTTGTCACTCTTGTCTAAAATCATTTTATCATATATTTGAAGGTTTGTTTCTGGGCTCTATTCTGTTCCGTTTGTCCTTATGTCCATTTTTATGCCAGTTGGGCACTGTTTTTGATAGTTGTAACTTTGTAACAGCTTTGAAATCAGAAAGTATGAGGCCTCCAATTTTGTTACTTTTCAGGATTGTTTTGGCTATTCAGAGTCCGATAAAAAGGGACCAGGTTTTTCCCCTAAATTTCTTAAGTCCTTTTACTGTACTAATACCTGAGAGCTAGGCCAGTCCTTTGTCTCACCTGAAGTAAGAGGCCTGGACTAGAATCTGTGTCTCTTGGTTTGTAGTTCAGGTTTTTCTACTTTGCTACACAGAGAATTTGTTTTTCTTACATTACGGCACATAAGAGAAAGGTCTTTACAAATACGCACACAATCTCTCTTCATAAATGTACTTGGAATCCCAGCATCTGTATCTTTGACCTTTAATGGGTTATTCTCTCCTATTTATACACACAGTTAAATCTAGGTACTGTTAGTTTTACCTGAGAAAACACTGGATCTCATACAGATATCCTGATATCCATGTTACAGTTGGCTTTAGGATGAACCCAACAACTAGCACAGTGGAGTGGGGCCCACTTACTGCTTTTTGGTTCTGTGCTATACAGAATGGAAAGCAAAGTTGTACTAAAGCTCATTCATTTTTGCTCACCTCTTGAGTGTAAGATGTGTCACTCTGTTACAGGGCTATTTGAGGACTTTTCCACTTCTGTCTGTGATGCTGTGCCTTCTGCCTCTGTTCAGATACTGTACTTGACCCTTCTGTAGCAGTGCTCGTAGCGCACTTCTGTCAGTAACGCTAATCTTAAAACTAAGTGAAACAGACTGTAGGCTACCATTTTCATGACACTAGAGCTAGTGTGTGGGGTAAGTCTATCTTTAAGTAGAATTTTGGAAAATTTAAAGAAACTTTTTAAATTGTCTCATTTTTAAAAAACTTTTTCAAGTGGAAAAAAGATACTTGGAAGGAAAGTACTTACGTCAATTTTAGCTCTATTCAGACCTTTTTCACTTGCAAAAAGAGGTTTACACAAAAATCTGGGTAACTAGGAGCCAATAATACCTGTATAAGAATCAGTGCTTTTTTATCCAGTGGTACTCAGAATCATTCAGTGATTACCCTTTGCTTCTCAGACATCCCGATGTCTGTGGGTATCATCGATCCTAGGGCTAATCCAAACCAACTAAACACAGTGGAGTTCCTGTGGGACCCTTCCAAGAGGACGTCAGTGTTTATTCAGGTAAGGCATTGCAAATGGGGTTCCAGCTGTGAAGAACATCTCTCACTACCACTTTGTTTCTTAAAGGAAAAGACACATTGAGTTGGAAATCTTTTTTTTTTTTTAAGATCTTATTTATTTATTTTTAGAGAGGGAAGGGAGGGAGATAGAGAGAGAGAGAGAAACATCAATGTGCAGTTGCTGGGGGTTATGGCCTGCAACCCAGGCATGTACCCTGGCTGGGAATCGAACCTGGGACACTTTGGTTCCCAGCCCGCGCTCAATCCACTGAGCTATGCCAGCCAGGACGAGTTGGAAATCTTTACAGGTGCAGACTCCTCAACATGTTCCTGAAAGCAGTAAGGAGTTTCTGAAGTGCTCTTTTAATTTCCCCAATTTATTTGCTTGTCTCTCCCCAAATGCTTACTGACACCTGCATAATACAGTGTGAGGCAAAAGTAGGTTTACAATTGTTCATGTGGAAAATAATACAATAACTAATAAATAATGCAGGAATAAGCTGTGTTTTTGATACAGAGAACTGTAAACCTACTTTTGCCCCATGCTACATTTTGTTCTGGATGGACTATAACTTACCTAACAATTATTTAGCATTGAGATTGTCTTAATTTTTTACTATTTTTTTAGTTTAAATTATTGTTGTTCAATTACAGTTGTCTGTATTTTTTACCCCCCTCCCTAATTTTTCACTATTCTCCATAAAGTTATTTTGAACATCTCTGTACTTAAAGTTTGCTTTGCATATCTGATTATCTTCTTCAGGTAGTTTGCTTGAAAATTTTTATTTGTCATAAGAAGAACTATTAGTTTGTTTATTGAGTAGTTCCCATGAGATGGTTACTGTGTTAAGTATAACACTTTATATATATAATTTTATTTAAGACTTTCACCAGTAATCCTGTGGATTAGGAGTAGTTCTTGAGGCTTAGAGAAGATAATTTACCCCAGCTAGTATTTGGTCATTCAAGATTCCACTGTTCAGACTTCCGGCCAAGATGGAGGCATAGGTAGACACACTGCCTCCTCGCACAACCAAAATAAGGACAACAATTTAAAAACAAAATAACAACCAAAACTGACAGAGAATTGAACTGTATGGAAGTCCAACATCCAAGGAGTTAAAATAGACACATTCATCCAGACCGGTAGGCGGGACTCCGGATGGAGTTGGGCAGCTGGGCGGAGAGGAGTAGCGGCACAAAAAGCGGTGGTACCGGGCGCGTAAGATGGAAGCAGGCAGCAGCTGGCAGACCCCGGGCATGGGGTGGCAATAGGCAGACCCAGCAAAGCGGCAATTGTGAAGCGAGGCACGGCGTGCAAGGTGCCTGGCTGACCAGGCGGTCCCACATTTATGCACAGATAAACCAGGCAAGGCTGGGGAGCGAGACAGACCACACAACCCAGGGTCCCAGCGCTGGGAAATAAAGCCTTGAGGCATCGATTGGGGAAATCTGTGGGGGTTGAGGCACAGGGAGAGACTCCCAGCCTCACAGAAGAGCTTGTTGGAGAGACCCACAGGGTCCTAGAATGTGCACAAGCCCACCCATATGGGAATCAGCACCAGAAAGGCCCAGTTTGCTTGGGGGAAGCAGTGGAAGAAACTGATATCCAACAGAGAGCAGAGCAAGCGCCATTGTTCCCTCTCAGATCCCGCCCCCACAAATAGTGTCACAACCCAGCGACTGGGTTGCTCCCTCCTGGTGAACACCTAAGGCTCCGCCCCTCATACTTAACAGGCGCAACAAGACAAAAAAAAAAAAAAATAGTGGCTCAAATGGAAGAACAGATCAAAGCTCCAGAGCAAATACAACTAAGTGATGAAAGAGATAGCCAACCTATCAGATGCACAGTTCAAAACACCAGTAATCAGGATGCTCACAGAATTGGTTGAATTTGGTCGCAAATTAGATGAAAAAAACTAAGGCTGTAGCCTTAGTGGACCAGAAGGAAGAAAGAAGCAACCAAACAGGAAAAGAATGAAGAAATAAGAATTCAAAAAAATGAGGAGAGGCTTAGGAACCTCCAGGACATCTTTAAATGTTCCAACATCTGAATTATAGGGGTACCATAAGAGGAAGAGGGAGAGCAAGAAGTGGAAAAGTGATTTGAACAAATAATAAAGAAGAACTTCCCCATTCTGGCAAAGGAAATAGACTTCCAGGAAACCCAGAAAGCTCAGAGAGTCCCAAAGAAGTTGGACCCAAGGAGGAACACACCAAGGCACATCATCATTATATTAGCCAAGGTAAAAATGAAGGAGAGACTCCTAGAAGCAGCAAGAGATAAGGAGACAGTAACCTACAAAGGAGTTCCCATAAGACTGTCAGCTGATTTCTCAAAAGAGACCTTGCAGGCAAGAAGGGGCTGGAAAGAAGTGTTCCAAGTCATGAAAGGCAAGGACCTACATCCCAGATTGCTCTATCCAGCAAAGCTTTCATTTAGAATGGAAAGGCAGATAAAGTGCTTCTCAGATAAGGTCAAGTTCAAGGAGTTCATCATCACCAAGCCCTTATTATATAAAATGTTAAAGGGACTTATCTAAGAAAAAGAAGATCAAAAACATGTACAGTAAAATGACACCAAACTCACAATTACTAACAACCACACCTAAAACAAAAACAAAAACACACTAAGCAAACAACTAGAACAGGAACAGAACCACAGAAATGGGGATCACATGGAGGGTTAGCAACAGGGGAGTGGGAGGAGGAGAAAGGGAAAGAAGGTACAGAGAATAATTAGCATAGATGGTAGGGAGAAAATAGACAGGAGAAGGGTAAGAATAGTATGGGAAATGTAGAAGCCAAAGAACTTACAACACATGGACATGAACTAAAGGGGGGAATGTGGGTGGGAGAGGGTGTGCAGGGTGGAGGGGAATGAAGGGGGGAAAATGGGACAACTGTAATAATATAATCAACAAAATATATTTTAAAAAACGATTCCACTGTTTACATTCGCCAAGGTCTCAGACTTTATGCAGTAGCCAAACAAACCTTTTCCCCCTTGTTGCCAGCTTTCCTATTTACCATTTTCCCAGCATGGATGGTGCCTCCACTTTCTAAAATCTATGTAGAAGTCCAGGAAACTTTTACTAACAAATCATTTCTCTTTTATGTTAACTCTATTCTTTGAAGCAGTTAATGAATTTAATTCCTCACAGTAGTTTTTGTAAACATTAGATCTGTATGTTTACTTTGTTTGCATTTGTAAATCATTTAAATTTTCCTCAGTTCCATCATTAGAGTGTAAATTCTTCAAGGTAAAAACTAAAAGTTTTTCTGGTAGGTGTTCATTAGGCTTTTTAAAGGTTTTACTGTTAGTAGTTGCTCAAAACATGGCACGGACAGGTTTGCCCAGCAGCAGCCCTGAAACCTGGACGCTGTGTCCTCCGCAGGTGCACTGTATCAGCACAGAGTTCACCATGAGGAAGCACGGCGGGGAGAAGGGCGTGCCGTTCCGCGTGCAGATCGACACCTTCAAGGAGAACGAGAACGGGGAGTATACTGAGCACTTGCACTCAGCCAGCTGCCAGATCAAAGTCTTCAAGGTATCCCTGGGCACTGTGGCGGCCTCGAAAACTACCCTCCTCCTCTCGCTTGTGACATTCAGTCATCAAGTCAAAAAGTCAGCTTGTCTTTTTACAAAAACTAAGAAAACTCAAGGACTTTCTTGGAGTGTCCTTAAAGCCTATTGAAGTTACAGGCTCTTCTAAAAGCTCACAAAGTTATGAAAACTTGACAGTTTTGGTTATATTTGTACTTTATCTTTCCTTATTTTGGTCTTTTTATGTTTGTCACATGGTTAAATTTGTTCTCATCGCGAAAGATTCATGAATACAAGAGTATTCAGAGCACGAAACGGACATTCCCCTCTCACCACTCTTGCCCTGACCCCCCAGCCTCTCCCCAGAGGCAGCTCCCCGCTGTTGCAGCTTAGGGTGCATGTGTCCTTCCGGTCCCCTTCTGTGCTCGTTCATGCGCGTGTGCAGAGGTGTACGCACACTCTCTTTTCTCCCAAACGTAAATGGGATTACACTGTATGAACTGTTTTGAGTATTGCTTTTTTCTACGTGCTTTAGAGATCTTTCCATGTCTATAGCTATAGATCTCTTATTCTTTTTTAACTCCATCAAACATTTAAATTTCCCAGTTTCAGACTTATATGCAATGATGCATTTTGTCTTTATATCATTGTAATATATCTTTGTTTCACTTGTGACTATTTAAGTTTTTAGAAGTAATATTGTTGGGTTGAAGGGTGAGTTTAAAATAAAGTATTTCTCATTTCAGCCCAAAGGTGCAGACAGAAAGCAAAAAACAGATAGGGAGAAAATGGAGAAACGGACACCTCATGAAAAGGAGAAATACCAACCTTCCTATGAGACAACTATACTCACAGAGGTAAAAAGGATTTCTTTGGTGACAGTTTCAATCAATACATTTTACTATTAAGAAATATCTAATCCTTTTACAGTATATGCATATATCAAGGTATTATGTTCTAATTTACCTAAAGCTAGTGTGTCATATGTCATTTATATCTCAATTTTTAAAAAATTGCTTCCCACCTGGTCAGAACTTACTTATCCTCTTAGTTATGGGGGGATCTGAGGAACTAAAATTTACTGATCAAGATGAGCTATTCAAGTGACAGTGTTTTGGTGGAGTACTAGAGTCAGTTACACGTTTTAGTATCTGAGTTGTCCTTTGTTTCAGTGTTCTCCGTGGCCCGAAATCACCTATGTCAATAATTCCCCATCACCTGGCTTCAACAGTTCCCATAGCAGTTTTTCTCTTGGGGAAGGGTAAGTTTGGGAAATGGAATTGGCTTGTGTTTGTTGTAAATGTGTATTTTTAAATCATCATCCTAGAAACAAGATCTTTCCTAACCAATAAATACTTCTGTTTGGTCAGTCTTTGATAGATTTATGTAGTAACTGAGGTTTGGCTTACCTTCAAAAGAAATTGAAAGAAGGGTTTTGTTTTATTTGTTTTTTGTGGGGTTTTTTGCTGCCTAAGTCTATATAATTTGTCTCATAGGATAACTTTCCTCATAGAGGAGAGGAGAGAGCACCAGAATAGTTAGCCTTTGTTGCTATAGAAAGCTCAAACTGTATCAGACAGTTTTGATCATCTGCTTGCAAGAGACTGAAAGCGTTTTACGTACCCTTTTGTATTTTTTTCCCCTCCCATTAGAAAATCACATTTATTGTTGGTTTTTAGTGATTCAGGGACTGATTTTCTGGGCTTTTCACTTCTCCCTGTTACTGCTTACTTGTGGTTCTTTCCCTTCCTGATCATACTCTCACCGCAGAGTGGTCATCGGGAACTGAAACACATATGTACAAATACTGATATCTGTTTGCTACGTACTGAGAATGATCCTAACACCTAGTTGTCATGAATCTTTGGTAATCAGGGGAAGAAGGTTGAACATGATTGCTAAAGAGTGTCTTATCTCTTAGCATAGGCCATATTGAAATTTCAAGATTGATTGATTGATTGATTTTTAGAGAGAGGGGAAGGGAGGGAGAAAGAGAAGGAGAGAAACAATGTGTGGTTGCCTCTCATGTGCCCCCACTGGGGACCTGGCAGGCATGTGCATGTTGGATTCCCTGATTGGGAATGCAACAGGTGACCCCTTGGTTTGCAGGCCGGCTCTCAATCCACTAATCCATGCCATCCAGAGCTGAAATTTCAAATAGACTGTGAAATGTGTGACTATACTGTTTTGTTGTAATGTTTGTTTTCTTATTTATTTAGGTTCTGTGTTCAAACTACTTCTGAAAGTGTTTAGTTAGGGTGGCTTAAATATTCAAAATGTAACCATTAAGAATAAAGATAGGTAGAAGTTGTAGAAAGAATAGATAACTAGGGTCTTGAAATAAGTTTATCATGAAACTTGAATCCTGAATTTGAATTTTGCAATTAAGGCAAAAAAGAAAAAGGTCTTTTTTGAAAGAAAAATGTCTTACTACCAGTGTAGATTACCCAGTGTACTTATAAGCAATTTAAAATACTATAGGCCTGGCTAGTATAGCTCAGTGGATTGAGCGTGGGCTGTGAACCAAGGAGTTGCCAGTTCAATTCCCAGTCAGGGCTCGTGCCTGGGTTGTGAGCCAGGTCCCCAGTATGAGGTGCTCAAGAAGCAACTACACATTGGGAAAAAAAAAAATTATATAGGGTTAAGAGGTTTTTTACCTTTTTGTTATGTATTTATTGTTAGACTCATGTTCCTCTCATGAAAGAAGTAAATATTAGGGAAGAGGGACAATCTGTAAAGCAAAAGTGAGGACAGGGAAAAACCAACTATGTAAATAGACCTTGGATTACAAATTGGGTAACACTAATTTTTGAAGCTGCTTTAAAATAATTATTTCTTATTATAAAAATTGTGTGATCGCATTGCATTTCATAAGTTTTATTCTAATATTTTTTCTCTGTATGTTTGTACATTTATATATTTAATGCAGTGGTAATATATTGATTACTTTCTTTTTTAAGATTATTTATTTATTTATTTTTAGAGAAAGGGGAAGGGAGGGAGAGAAACACCAATGTGTGGTTGCCTCTCATGCTACCCCAACTGGGAAACTGGCCTTCAACCCAGGCATGTGCCCTGACTGGGAACCGAACCAGCCACCCTGTGGTTCACAGGCCGGCACTCAATCCACTGAGCCACACCAGCCAGGGCAAGATTACTTTTATATTCTGATATTTATTTTACATTCTTATAAATTTATGTTAAATAGTCTTTATGTCTTAATTTGTCTAATCAGTCCCAATTTACTGGAATCTTCATTTTTTTTCAATGTCTCCAATAAAAAATGTTGCAAGTGACATAGTTCCTCCTCCCTCACCCTCTAAAAAGTCTTTACAATAAATGAATACATAATAGAAGAACTGGGTCCAAGAGCAAGAATGTTTTATGAGAGAGCACAGATTCCTTTAAATATCTAGCTTAGGACTTAGAGGGTCAAGAATGAGATGATGAACCCTAGTACGCGTCATGGACTCATCCTTTCGTTGTAAATGTTTCTTTAGAAACGGTTCACCAAACCACCAGCCAGAGCCGCCCCCTCCAGTCACAGATGTAAGTTTAAAGTTAAATGTCAGCTATTTGCAATATCTAATAATACTTTGATGACTGTGCAGTTCAGTACTAGTGCCCAACTTCTAAGGTGTGTTCATTTGTTCATTAAATATTTATTGAATTTTGACTGTGAACCAGATACTATGCTATGGACCAGATATATAAAACAAGAAACATAGGACTCTTGTATTTAAGGAACTTATAATCTAGTGGGGGAAGATAAGGATGGAAAAATCCAAGGGTATCTTGCATGGTTAGAGAAGGAAAAAGAATATATAAACAGTTTACCAGCAAACCAGGCCTATCTGAGTGTGGGTGTGTTTGGCTACTGCTTATCTAATAATGTAACATTTACCTTTTTTTAAGTTCAATCTATTTAGTTACCAAAAAATTGCTTTTTCTCTTTCAGAACCTCTTGCCAACAACCACACCTCAGGAAGCTCAGCAGTGGTTGCATCGAAACCGGTTTTCTACATTCACGAGGCTTTTTACAAACTTCTCAGGTTAAATTTGCCTAACCTTTTGTTCCCCCACTCGGGATGTTCTTCTACATTCTAGGGCCTCCTGGTTCCCTGTGAGGGTGTTGTATGTATGTGCTGTGAAATACTTAAAAAGAAAGACCTCTTAGCTTAAACTTATTTTAATTTTAAAATATTCATTTTTTACAACACTTTAAAAATGTACTATATAATATTTTATGAAGGAGCATTTGCAGGTAGTCTGAAATTTTCTCCTGATGTCACAATATTGTATTTTATTTGCACATTCCACTTTTATTTAACACCTTCAGGGTAACCAGTCATGGTAGGAATACTCAAATGGGTAAGGCATACTTCCAGATCATTTATCATCTATTACCAAAAAATCACATCAAAATATTTCCACCCCCAGCCCAAAAAAAGGGTGAACAAGTAGTTGTGATGTAGTAGAAGCAAACAGGCATTTAGGGGAGGGCCTGGGGTTAAGGAGCATGTGTGATGCATGAGAGATGAGGAGTTTGTTGACCAGGCAGTGGAAGGATGTTTCAGGCAGGAGGGACAACTTCTCATTGGATGTCATCAGTATCACGAAAGCACAGGGTTAAGTGGAGAAGTAATTGGATGGGAATTGAGGTGGGAAAGGAAGCAGGGGTGAGGTCGTGGAGGACCTTATGCACCATGCAAAAGGATTGTAATGTAGCAGTAGTGAAGTGTCCTTGTAGCAGAGCCCATTTTAGCTGTCATTAACAAACAGAGACAATGCCTCTATCACCCATTTTCTTATATTTATTTCAGGGGCAGATTTATTGAAACTAACTAGAGATGATGTGATCCAAATATGTGGCCCTGCAGATGGAATCAGACTTTTTAATGCATTAAAAGGCCGGTATGTGATTAGTGTTAAAATATCAGTGAGGTTGGATTTCAAATGGATTTGGATTCAGGGACTCTTCACAATACTCATTGCACAGTTAAATACATCTTGTCAAAACATTCTTTTTGAATCGTAGCTATGTACCAAATAAATAAAGATGAAAAATATCCTTTCTCACACTTGATTCAAGGAATTCCTCATGATATCCCATTTTTTATTTTCAGGTAGTTTTTTCATTCAATAAATATTCATTGTTACTATTATGAGCCATTTAGGCTAAAGGATACATTGGTGAGCAAAGCAGACAGGGTACCCATTATCATGGAGACTACTTTCTAATGGGAAGAGAGATAAAGATATAAACAGTAAGTATTTTGGGTAGTGATAGTTCTTTGAAGGGAAACAAAACAAAACACGAAGGTTCTGGCCTGTGGAGTACCCAGGCTTTGGTTAGGAGAGATCTTTCTGGGGTGTGGTTATATAAACTGAGTTATGAAAAGACTGGCATCTATGAGGTCATACCAGGGAAGAGCTTTCTAGGCAGAAGGGACAACAGATATAAAGGCCCTGAATCAGTTTTAGCTAGAGAACAGATCAATTTTAAGATTGGGTAGGAATTGCTTAAGTGTCTGCTTACAAATATTATTTATAATACAAAGAGTAATTTGTAGTCCCAATTTATGATTTCTAATTTCCAGTAGGTACCAGTAGTATTGATGGAAAAAACATACAGGTTGATGCCATAGAACCAAATCAGTGACTAAATAATGAAACAGACTGTGAACTGTTTGTGTTTGTGAACATCACAAGAGTTATTAGGTGGGCCATAAACTTGGAAAATTTTAAGAGGTGGAATTCAAGGTTTAATGATTTAAGGAAAAAGAATGGATCTTTCATGTTTTTTTAAAGATTTTATTTATTTATTTTTAGAGAGAGGGGAAGGGTGGGAGAAAGAGAGGAAGAGAAACATTGATATGTGAGAGATACATCGATCCGTTGCCTCTCACATGCCCCAACTGGGGACCTGGCCTGCAACCCAGACATGTGCTCCAATAGGGAATTGAACCTGCAACCTTTTGATTTGCAAGCTGACACTCAATCCACTGAGCTACAGCCAGGGCTGGGTCTTCCATTTTAAAATGTATTATCTAAAGAGCATTTAGAAATAGGGAGTAATGAGGACTTCTGGCCAAGATGGAGGTGTGGGTAGATACACATTGCCTCCTCACACAACCAAAAGAAGGACAACAACAAATATAACAACAAAAAATAGCCAGAACTGCCAGAAAATCAAACTATATGGAAGTCCGACAACCAAGGACTTAAAGAAGAAACATACATCCAGACTAGTAGCAGGGGTGGAGACGGGCAGCCAGGGCAGAGAGGATGTGTGGCAAAGTGGCTGCTGGAATACTGAGTGGGTGAGGTGGTGGCTGGCGGTCCCGCATTTATGTGTGGATTAACCTAGAGGAAAATGGGAGAGCAAGACAGACCGCACAACCCAAGGTTCCAGCATGAGCAAAGAAAGCCTCAAAACCTCTGGCTGTAAAAATCTGTAGGGGTTGCAGTGGTGGGAGAAACTCCCAACTTCATAGGAGAGTCCACTGGGGAGACCTGTGGGGTCCTAGAATATACACAAACCCACTCACCCAGGAATCAGCACCAGAATGGCCCAATTTACTTGTGGGTAGTGGGGGAAGTGACTGAAAGCCTGCAAGTGCTGAGCAAGTGGCATTGTTCCTTCTCGGACCCCTCACCCACATACAGTGCCACAAGGCAGTGAAGTGGGTTGCCCTGCCCTGGCGAATACCTAAGGCCCCAGTCTTTATAACGTAACAGCTGTGCTAAGACAAAGAAATATGGCCCAAATGAAAGAACAGATCAAAACTCCAGAAAAAGAACTAGGCGACGAGGAGATAGCCAGCCTATCAGATGCAGAGTTCAAAACACTGGTAATCAGGATGCTCACAGAAATGGTTGAGTATGGTTGCAAAAGAGAGGAAAGAGTAAAGGCTATACAAAGTGAAATAAAGAAAAATATACAGGGAACCAACCATGATGGGAAGGAAACTGGGACTCAAATCAATGATTTAGACCAGAAGGAAGAAATAAACATCAATCAGAACAGAATGAAGAAACAAGAATTCAGCAAAATGAAGAGGTGTTTAGAAGCCTCCGGGACAACTGTATTAAACATTCCAACATCCAAATCATAGGAGTGCCAGGAGGAGAAGAGGGAAGAGCAAAAAGTTGAAAACATAATGGAGGAGAACTTTCCCAATCCCACAAAGGAAATAGACTTCCAGGAAGTCTAGGAAGCTCAGAGAGTCCCAAAGAACTTGGACCCAAGGAAGCACATGCCAAAACACATTACATTACTCAAGATTAAAGATAAGAAAAGAACCTTAAAAGCAGCAAGAGAAAAGGAGACAGTTACCTACAAAGGAGTTCCCATAGGGCGATATCAGCTGATTTCTCAAAAGAAATCTTGCAGGCAAGAAGAGGCTGGAAAGAAGTATTCCAAGTCATGAAAGGCAAGGACCTACATCCAAGATTATCATATCCAGCAAAGCTATCATTTAGAATGGAAGGGCAGATAAAGTGCTTCCCAGATAAGGTCAAGTTCAAGGAGTTCATCATCACCAAGCCCTTATTATATGAAATGTTAAAGGGAACTTATCTAAGAAAAAAAAGACCAAAACTATGAACAGTAATATGAGAGCAAACTCACAACTATCAACAACTGAACCTAAAACAAACTAAGCAAACAACTAGAACAAGAAGAGAATCACAGAAATGGAGATCACATGGAGAGTTATCAGCAGGGAGGCAGAGGGAGGAGAATGGGGGAAAAGGTACAGAGAATAAGAAGTGTATGTGGTAGGTATAAAATAGACAGGGAGAGGTTAAAAATAGTATGGGAAATGGGGAAGCCAAAGAACTTACATGTATGACCTATGGACATGAACTAAGTGGGGGAATGCTGGTGGGAGGCGGGGTGCAGGGTGGAGGAGAGTAAAGGGGAGAAAAAATGGGACAACTATAATAGAATAATCAATAAAATATACTTAAAGTAATAGGGATTAATAAGATAATCAGATGAAGAGGTAATTAAATACAGTTATCAAAAGTAAGAACAGAAAGAAAGCTTAAGCTATTTAGGAGACAGCAATGTTGAAAATAAGACTCTCCAGTTTATTATATTGGTACTTTTAAATAAAAGGTACACCTTGAGCCCTGGCCAGTATAGCTCAGTTGGAGCATCATCCCAAATACCAAAAGTCTGAAGGTTTGATTCCCAGTCTGGTGACATACCTAGGTTGTGGGTTCAGTCCCTGGTGGGGTCACATATGGGAGGCAACTAATCAGTGTTTCTCTCTTACATCGATATTCCTCTCTCTCTCCCTCTCTTTCTTTCTCTCTCACTTTCTCCCCCTGCCCCACCACTCTCTCAAGTAAATAAACCTGTTTTGTTTTTTTTAATGGCCCTGGCTGGTGTGGCTCAGTGGATTGAGCACTGGCCTGCGAACTGAAGGGTCGCTGGTTCGATTCCCAGTTAGGGCACATGCCTGGGTTGCGGGCCAGGTCCCCAGTTGGAGGCGCCTGAGAGGCAACCACACAGTGACATTTCTCTCCTCTTTCTCCCTCCCTTCCCCTCTCTGAAAATAAATAAATAAAACATTTAAAAATAAATAAACAAATAAGTAAAAGATATATCTTGAATGAGACATAAAACAATGGCTTGTACATTTTGAATATAGATGGGTCCCTGATTTATGATGTCTTTCAACTTATGATTGTTCAGCCTTATGATGGTGCAAAAGTGATATGCAGTCAGAAACTGCTTTGGTTTTTGAATTTTGGTCTTTTCCTGGGCTCAAGTGATCAGTGGTACAGTACTCTGTAATGCAGAGCAGCAGCAGTGAGCTGACTTTGCCCACCTGTAGGCTCATATGAGTGATTCTGATCATGTTTAAGAGAGGCTGGGCTAAGCTATGATATTTGGTAGGTTACGCGTATTAAGGCGTTTGCAATTTACAGTATTTTCAACTTACAATGGGTTTATCGGAACATAACCCCACTGTAAGTTGAGGAACATCTGTATTTCTAACCTTTTACATCAAAGGTTGCAAACTCAGATAACTATAGAGGACACATGTAAATGAGTGACAGTCGGGGTCTAGGGTGTACTGAAGTATGCATACCCCAAGTAAGGGGGACAGCTGATTGTTTTCTTCTAGAATGAGGGCTTTGGATTGCCAGATCTGATTGTTGAAGAAAAGCCAAAAATTCAGAGGTTCATATGATGTCTCCTGTTGGAAGGAATTCATTTAAGCGCACACACATGCACGCACCCAGTGGGCAGCTAATAAAACACAGCAAGTGAGCTGCATTGGCTCATGGGCTGCCAACTTTCAGCCCTTGCATTGTAGTATTAACGTAAGTACATAAGTTCTCCCTTAAAATGTGCTTACCATGAAAAATGTGAAACTAACAGTGTTTTTTTTTTTCTCCTTAGGATGGTGCGTCCAAGGCTAACCATTTATGTTTGTCAGGAATCCTTGCAGTTGAGGGAGCAGCAACAGCAGCAGCAGCAGCAGCAGCAGCAGAAGCATGAGGATGGAGATTCAAATGGTACTTTCTTCGGTAGGTCATGCTGGACAGGCCAGGACAGATGTGAAGAAAGAGGAAGAGGTGACTACCAAGTATGTACGATAGGAATTTCCCAACAGTGGATTTAGAATTTGCCAGAAGTAGTGGTAATAGCTAACATTTATTGAGTTCCTCATATGTGCCAAGCACTATTCTCAGCACTTTTTTACATGTTTTAATTTTTATGACTAGTGTCTCTCTTTGTAGTAGATTTTATTGTATCTCCAGCATTTAGGTGAGGAGAATGAGGCTTAGGGATGTTAAGTAACTTACCCCAGGTCACACACTAGCAAGTGGGTGCGTCAGGATTTGAACTCAGGATTGACTGAGTCCTTCAGAAAAGTGGGCATTTCTATTAATCACACTACCTCTAAGAGCAGATAGACTTTGTGCTGACTGCCGCTGTTCTCTCCCTCTTGCAGTGTACCATGCCATCTACCTAGAAGAACTGACAGCTGTTGAACTAACGGAAAAAATTGCTCAGCTCTTCAGCATTTCTCCTTGCCAGATCAGCCAGATCTACAAGCAGGGGCCAACAGGAATCCATGTGCTCATCAGTGATGAGGTAGATTTTCAGTGCAGCTGAATCGTCAGATGACAGTTGATTTATCACGGCATGTGACAGGGGCAAGAGCAGTTCTATTGAGGCAGAGTGCTTTGTTTTCTAGACCAGAGGTTCTCAAACATTTCTACTTGCTTACCAAATAAAATAATTTTTCAAAAATGTGTATCCCCTTGCACATTTTTAGGGACTTAAAATTTTTTCTCTTAAGTTCAAATAAAGTGGCAAAAGATGTTACTTCTGGGCATATTATATGACATTTAAAAATGAAATGGTTGCACTGGCCAGTATGGCTCAGTTGGTTGGAGCATGATTCTGTGACTGAGGAGTTGAAGGTTCGATTCCCAGTCAGGGCACATACCTAGGCTGCAGGTTTGATCCACGGTCCAGGAGTGCATGGGAAGCAGCTGATAGATGGTTTGTTTTTTTTCTCTCTCTCTCTACCCCCTACCTTTCTCCCTAAAAGCAATGGAAAAAAATGTCCTCGGGTGAGGATTAAAAAGAAAAATGAAATGATTGCTTCCCTATTCTAACTGTATTCCATGAAACCTAAATACAAGAGTGATTTAACAGAATTTTTTTTAATTTACTCATTTTTAGAGAGGGGGTGGAAGGGAGGGAGAGAAGCATCGATGTGTGAGAGAAACTTCTAGTGGTTGCCTCTCGAACATGCCCCAACTTCGGACAGAACCCACAACCCAGCCACCAGCCCTGACCAGAAATTGAGCCCAGCAACCCTTCCTTTTGTGGTACAACGCCTGACCAACTGAGCCACACTGGTCAGGGCCAGAAATTGTATAGACTGTCTTTGTTTCCATGAATTAATATTTCCATTCACTTCTCATAGCATTTTTATCCTTGAACTTTTTTATTAATCATTCTACTATATTTCACTGAAACAAAAGTTTGTTTCACTAAAAATACTTGTTTCAATAAAATTATTTCTTCTGACTAGAATTAACACCATAATTATGCAGTTGATTAAAATGTCAATGTATATGTTTTAATGAGTAATAATTAAACATTAAGAAAAAATTTATTAGAAGTGCATCTATTAATGAGATGGATGGGATTGTTTGATTTTGATTCCCTACCCCCTATCCTGCACACAATTAATTCATTTATAAGTGATTACTGCCTATTGATTGAAATAAGAGTTCAGCATCAGTTCCATCTGGTTATTTTCCTCAAGATACAAGTGCTGTGGAACCTGATTCACATTTATTGACTGACAGCAATGGATTGAGTTTTGCTATGACATCATTGCTGGATCCTTTTTTTTGAACTTCTGAGTTATGTGCCAAAAATTACATAATGGTGGTGTCACAAATTATTTTGAATCATCTGTCGTTTGACAGTTTGTAATTAAGTCACTCCAATTCTGGTGAAAAGAAGAAATTGGTAACCATGTGACCCCCCACAGAGAATTTGCTACCTAGTCATTAGCGTTTACATTTGCAGTTAAACTTGGGCATTCTGAGAGCATATGGGAGGCAGCCAATCTGATCGATGTTTCTCTCACTCACTGGAGGCTTTTATACCCCAGGGCAATGCATTTTAGGATTCCAGGAGGGTAAAATTCATGCCTTTATTTTATAGATGGGAAAAGGGAGTTTAAGAAGGGAAAGTGGGAAAGGAAAACAGAAGAATCTCAGGCAGTTTTAGGGGAAATTAGATACAGAAGTTGGAGAACTGGAAGTCAGTTCTCTCATATGCGCCTCTCAGTGTCTGTGTTCCCCTTGGAAAGTCTTGGGGTTAACCCAGGAAAATGTATACTCCAATTTTAAGACAACTGTTTTACAATAGTTTAAAAAAAAGATTTTATTTATTTATTTTTAGAGAGAGGGTGGAAGGGAAGGAGAGAGGGAGAGAAACATTTATTGGTTGCCTCCCGTACATGCCCTGACTAGGGACTGAATGGGTAACCCAGGCATGTGCCCTGACTGGGAATCGAACCCATTACCTTTTGCTTTGCAGGACAATGCCCAACCAACTGAGCCACACCAATCAGGGCTAGACTACTTAGTTTTTATTTATTTTTTAATAGATTATTTATTTATTTTTAGACAAAGGGGAGTGGGGGGAGAGAGGGAGAGAAACATCAATGTGTGGTTGCCTATCACACGCCCCCTGCTGGGGACCTAGCCAGCAACCCAGGCACCTGCCCTGACTGGGAATCGAAACAGCAACCTTTTGGTTCATAGGCTGGTGCTCACTCAATCCACTGAGCCACACCAGCCAGGACTAGACTACTTAGCTTTTAAAACTTAAAAACAAAACAAAGCAAAAGATTATTTTTCACTTAAATCTATATAAGAAAAAGCCACATAAGCATAGTAAATACAACAAACCAAAGCTTTTAATCACATTTTTTTGCTTTTTTTTTTTCAGATGATACAGAACTTTCAGGAAGAAGCCTGTTTTATTCTGGACACAATGAAAGGTAATAAAATAGTAAGGCAAACATTATTTTCTAAGGAGTTTAAGAGCTTTTTTCGTAGAGGGGGAAGGTATGAACCACCATATTTGAAGTAGAAAAAGTGACATTATTAGAGTTTGTTCCTTTGTATAAATTGGCTTCTCGTCATTATCAGAATAGACAAAGTGTAACTAGTGACTCTGCCGTTGTCTTTCACCTTCCATGGACAAATGAGGAAATGGAGGCATGTTGTTTTTATAATGGATATTTATTATAAGTATTCTGTGATCATCAATAGGTATGCTGCTCTTTGCCCTGCTGTTTTTTCCTTTTCTCAAAAGAACCTTACTGTACTTTTTTTCCTCCTACTATGTTTTAAAGGTGACTAAAGATTATCCTCTTTCTTTTCTGTTTTACAGCAGAAACCAATGACAGCTATCATATTATACTGAAGTAGATGTGGGGCATTCCGTCCTCAGTGGCTGCTGCTTCCTTCACCTCTGGGAAACCCCCCTGGAAGGGGATGCAGATGGAGAGTTGAAGGTCTGCGGGAACCTGGCCCATCTGACTGTGTTGGGGGGAGCGCAGGCCATGGAGGCAGAGCCCAGCCGTCTGTGCGGGTCCGGGCTCTGTGGCACACAGACTACGGCCCGACAGGCCTTTCTACAGCTGTTTCTGAGTTACAATTTCTGGACCCTGTTGTTGAATATCAGTGGAAACTCCACAGCATTTGGGGTGTATGTAGAGCATAACAATGATGATAACTGTGTGATGTTTAATGGAAAGATGTTAAATTTTGTGATACGGAGCTGTGTGATTTTTTCTAATATAAAAAAGTGAACATCTATATTCATAAGACTAGATACTCAATTTCTTTTGCATCAAACATGTACTGGCTTTTTACCATAGTCGGCCCCTGAAAACCTCATCAAAGAGAAATACTGAGATAGACTAGAATTTTTCCTTTGGTTCCTCTGTAATACTGTCACTAAGAGTAATTTTAGCTAACATTTATGGAGTGTTTATTTGTGCCAGGCAGTGTGATAAATTCTTTTAATGGATTATCTTGTTTAAATCCTCTTAATAATCCTATGTGAAGTAGGTGATAATGATTCTTCATTGAAGATGAGGAAATGGAGACTTGTAGTGGCTAGACAGCTTGCTGAGCAGCAGGCAGCGAGCAGGTGGTGGTGCCAAAAGCCAAACCCAGGCAGTCTGGGTCTTACTAGTTGCCACCCAGTGCTGCCGCCTTTGCAGTCCTTGTGCTTGGCGTCATTTCTTACTGTGGCTCTTCTGGTGAATAGGACAGAACACTGGGTGAGAACTGAGAATCTAACCACTGAAAGGGACAAACCATACCTAAATAATGATGCACAAATCAAAATGTACAGACAGTAAAAACATAGGTGCTTTGTAAGCATCATTAGTTATCAGGTCTTAGCATTTGAGGTGGTGAAAACTAGGGATTTTCTGTAACTCCCCAAATTCACTGTTCTTGGATGACCTCCTCAAACTATTTATTAATGAGATAGACTAACCCCTCCTTTCTCTTTCCCCTCTCTGCATTTTCTCTTGGTGTAGGAAGTTCTTTTATTCATTTAGTGTTCTTTTATTTAAGCTTTACAAAAAATTCATTCTGATCCCATTCACATTCTTACCATATATTTTTGTTATTTCTTAAAGAATGACTGTGTGTGTGTTTACATGTGTAAGAATCTGGGTCTTTCTTTTTCACATGTAAAGTTTTATCCAGAAATCCCTTTACATATTATGTTGAAGTGAAAAAGATAACGTTCAAAGATTATGTATTGAATTTGGGTCTGTGTGTGTGTGTATGTGTTTTCAAAGCATTTGATAATGTTTAAATGTTTTTATACAGAGGTTTTTGTTCATTAAAATCAACCTGCAACACAGTCTGATTTCTTTTGGTTGGAAACAAGTTGAAAACTTTGGAAAATTAAGTCAACTAACTTGTTTAGAACTGACCTGGGCAACTTGACATCATAGGCCAAAATAATTTTTTAGTGAATGATTACCATATGTCTCGTCTCCGCTTTAGGGGAATTTTCTAATTACACCATGTTTCTAGGACTGGTTCTCAGCTTCAAGGAAGTTGCTCTCTCAGAAGGCTCCTGTTGTGTTTTGTTTTTTTCTATTCTGTGTGAATAATGTTAGGCTAGGAGGGTTGGACTAGATGACTTTTAAGGTCCCTTCTAAGTCTGAATCTTGACTCGTGTTGACTGCAAATGCACATAGAATTCTATTAATATATTTACTATAAATTCACACTTACTATTTTTACTTGGCATTAGGGGTCTTTTTTTAGAGTAGTCTTCAAATTTATAGAAATAAATTTATACAAGTTTGTAGTGACAGGTCCTTAAATTAACCAGAAAATCTCTTAAGCTTTTTTTAGGTTCAAAAATACTATGGTGCCAATACTATATAATTGGTAGAATTGGTATAGTGCTAAAACATTGTGCTTATTTGACTTCCTTTAAAAATTGTATCTGTTCTCTATCCTTCCAATTTAATGAAAATTTAAAACTTGCTTTTTCTTCATGAAACTCATGCACAAAGTGATAAATGCAAACAATAAAGAAAGCTGCAACTTACTACTTAACTCCTAGTTTCACTCTACAGAGGTCAACATTGAAAAAAATTACTCCCCCCATGTCTGTCTGTCTGTCTCACACAAACACACACACACACATACTCAGATGGGCTCTTGTTTTACCAATGATCTGCAATTTGCTTTTTGTATTTATGTAACATAGCTTGAACCTCTTTTTCTATTAGACTTCATAGTACCACATCATTCTTTCTAAAAAATGGCCATACCCTGTGGATGCCTTTTAGGTTAGGTCCATTGGAACATGCATCTTCACAATATTTTTTGCAGGTATTTCTAAGATATTCCTAGAAGTAACATTTGCTGGCTTTTACCTTTTAAACAGTGTGACAGTAGATATTTAAAATAGATAGTTTAGCCCTGGCTGGTGTGGCTCAGTGGACTGAGTGCCAGCCTGCAAACCAAAGAGCCACTGGTTCAATTCCCAGTCAGGGCACATGCCTGGGTTGCAGGCCAGGTCCCCAGTGGGGGGCGAGTGAGAGCAACCACACACTAATGTTTCTCTCCCTCTTCCCTTCCTTTCCCTCTAAAAATAAATAAACAAAATCTTTATAATATATATATATATATAGTTCAATATTTCTGTCAGAGGGAGGGTATAGAGTATGAGAAGGAGAATGTTTAGGTTTTAGACCCCCCTAAGAGTAGAGTAGTGTCCTGTTTGACTTAGCATTTTCTGTTTTGTTCCCTTGAAGGTAATAGGTTCATCCAGAAGAATCTGCCGTGTAAAGACTTGACAGTTAAAAAGGAGCTACTGAGAAATAAAAAGGGGGAGTCATTACAGGGCTCTAAGGATTGAGTGCAAGTCACTACATGAAACATGTTCAGTGAATAATACTAAAATTGTTTTCCAGTATTATGGCACAAGAACATTGTTTGCCCACATAAAAGATTTCTTTAAGAAGTCATTTAAAGGGAGGAGAAGTGGGAACGGTCATGCTGTCTGGAAAGAGATTACAGTACAATGAATACAAGACCACTAGAGTCTGGAAGCCCTGAGAAAGTGAGGTCCGCCTGAGGGGCATGCATTCTGACTCCTGAGGGCCAGGGGCCGTCAGACACAGCGTGTTGTGAGGCTAGATCGCGGTCTCACCACTGAGTTGGGGGAGCACGGAGAAGCATGGCAAGGGAAGAAAGTGTGGCATAATGGAACTAGCCATTTCTAATTTATGCCTAATGAAGGAGTGTTCTGAAAACCCTTGGCATCCCCAAATATCCTGAAAGGCTTTTGTGTAGGGTTGCTGCAGAGATATGGGCTGCCTTGCAAACTACTGTGAAGGATTAAATGGAGCTTCTGCGTTCAGTTTTGGAAGTGATGCGAATTTGGGGTGCAAATATTTGAAGTCAGGACTGAGCTTCCTCCTTCTCTGTAGGTTTTTTTTCTCTGGTCACTACTTAACAATTCCATATAGCTTGGGACTAGAGAGCTATAGTAGAGCCATTTTATCATTTTTCTGAATATTTAGTTTCCCTGGCTGTGGATGGTTCCTCTGGCAGGAGTGTCCAACCTGCGTGGCCCAGATGGTTATGGATGCAGCCCAATACAAAATCCTAAATTTACTTAAAACATGAGATTTTTTTGTGATTACGTGTCATAGTGTATTTAATGTGGTACCCAAGACAACTCCTCTTCCAGTGTGGCCCAGAGATGCCAAAAGGTTGGACACCTTTGGTCTGTTTGCCTCCGCTGGTCTGTCATGAGAACTCCACAACCTCAAAGGAAATGGCACAAACGCCCCACCTAGCTGCATAATTTATACAGAGGAGGGCAAAAGTAGGTATACAGTTGTGAGTACTAGAAACAGTTTATTCTTGTATTACTAGTTATTAATGATTGTATTATTTTCTATATGAACAACTGTACACCTACTTTTGCCCCACCCTGTACACCATTTCATGTAGAGTAATCGTACATCATTCTTCTTTTAAAAATGCTGTATTTTCGTTGGTGTGAGCTAAGGCTTTTCTACTAGAATATTTATTTTTAGTTTATGATTAGACTTTTGTTATATGAACTCCAAGGCTTAAATGAGGAAGAACTCACTACCGCTGCGAAGTAGAACAAGCTGGAAAAGATGGCCTTTATGAAGTGAGATCAGTGCCATCAGTGCTTTTTGTTTTCTGTATCGTTCATACATTATTTCTCTCTCTCTTTTTAATCACTTAATGACCTTGTATTTTTACCTTTGGCTTTAAACTTCCATGCGTTTCCACTTCCTCTTTTCTCTTTTTTCAGTTTCCCTATTCATGTCCAGATCTCTTCTGTGTTGTTCCTTGTGAACACAGGCCTATTCAGCATGTCACCTTGGAAATTGCAGCAGTCTAACATTTGCCTTCTCCAATTCAGAGATTTAAAGGTTATACATGAATTAAAATTTTCAATTGGATTAATGTCAGTTATAAGGGAACTTGCTATTTAAAAAATATTAGTGTATTATTTATTGCATTATTATACTATTTTGTACTGCATGAGGTCTTTTGGGACATGCATAATAACCCATTTACCTATTAGGTGAATCTGTGTTTTATATATTTGCATAAGATGAGGTGCACTGTACACAGTCCTTATTTTATATTTAAAAAAAAATCCTCACCTGAGCTATAGCCAATGAGGTTTATCTGAGGTGCAATTATTGCTAATCAAAAATCCTCATCTGAGGATAAGTTTATTGATTTTTAAGATTTTATTTATTTGTTTTTAGAGAGAGGAAGAGAAACATTGATCGGTTGCCTCTCACCTGTGATAGGCTACAACTCAGGCATGTGCCCTGACTGGGAATGGAACTGGCAACCTTTTGCTTTGTAGGACAGCGCTCTAACCAACTGAGCCACACTGGCCAGGGCAGTCGAGGTAGTATTTTGACTAAGCTAGAGCTTATTGCCAAATTGGATTCTGCTATCTTAAAGAATAACTTTGCTTTGGCTGTCATATAGTTTGGTATCATTAACCAGCAAAGTTTGGGCACTGAGGTGGATGGTACCCCAATAAATCTCCGTGACTGCTCAAACTCTGAATGTGTAGGCCTGTGAAACCTTTTTTAGCCTGCCCACGTGACTTTTAGACTGTTTTTTGTTCCTCATCCCACTGAATCACAGAGTGGTCTGGGGCCTTCTCTTCCTTTTTGTCTTCTGTGTCCAGGGAAAACAGAGTCATGAACATTTACATAGCACTGACTGTGTTATAAACATTTGATACTTTATTAACTATTTAATCTTCACAAAACCCTGTAAGAGTCATACTATCGTCTTCATTTTCCAGATGCAAGAGCTGTGGCACAGGGAAGTGACATACCTTATTAAGGGTCACACTACCAGTGAGCAGGGGAGCTGGGGTTTGCTCTTAGGCCATCTGGCTCCGGGACCGACTGCATGTTGCATCACACCTAAATTTTGGCGGTAGGGAGATGACCATTACACGGTACCCTGAGGACTGCTTTTTCTGTGATCTGCTGCTGTTTCATTTTGCAGTATTGTTTCTTAGCCTCTTAGAGTCTGTAATGTCACCTAAGGGGGAAGAATGGAATTTGTGGCATTTTTCCCAAGCCACCCAACCTCTAGATCTGGCTTCATGGTTCTTGGTTGCAGTGGAAAGTTAGGCTTTGGAACCAGCCTAAGCTGAGTTTAAGTCCTGCCATCCATCAATTCAATATCCAGTAAATATCCACTGAGCTCCTAAATGTCAAATACCTGGCTTTGTAGTGGGTACTGACCACACAGTAAACAGAACAATTCCTTTCTCTCATGAAATGTAGTCAAGTGAGGGAAGAGTGGAAAACAAATATATGTCAGGTGGTAAATGCTCAGAAATGCAAGGCAAGAGGATAGAGACTAAAGGGAAGCACTATTTTATTTGTTTGTTTATTTATAATCCTCATCCGATGATATGTTTATTGGTTTTTAGAGAGAGGGGAAAGGAAAGTGGGGGTGAAAGAAACATCGATGTCATCCATAGGTTGCCTCCCCTAAGTGCCCCCAAAGGGGGATCTCAGTCACAAGGTAGGCATGTGCCCTGACGGAGAATCAAGCCTGTAACCTTTCAGGGTACAGGACGACACTCTAACAAACTGAGCCACCGGGCCAGGGCAGGAGAAGCACTATTGTAGAAATATGGTTAGAGAAGGTCTTTGATAAAGGGGCATTTGAGCAAATATTAAATGAGGGCATGTGTGGCTAGCTGGTGAAATAATGTTCCAGGCCCTGAGATGAGAGCATGACTGTCCTGTTGAAGGAACTGCAAGGAAGCCAGTGGGCCAGTATTCCAGCAGAATAAGGGTAAGGGAAAGCAGAGGGAAACAAGAGGACATAGGACTGGGGGAGCTGGAGGGAGAAGTGGTGCCTATCTCTTGTAGGGTATTTTATGTCAAGGAAGAGACATGAACTATTCTGAATGAATGGGAAACCAGTCAGGGTGTTATTGACAAATAACAGATAACTTCTGAGTTTTCATTTATACCATCTTAAAAGTGAGTTGCAAAGTTGTGAAGATCAATGATCATGTAAAAATAATTTTGAAAGAAAACAATCAATCCGTCAATACATATCGAGATAACTCAGTATATTGCTTGTATTTTCTTCTCCATATCTTGGGCAGGTTGCAGCACGTCATGCCGTTTAAGATTAAGATATCCCATGAACGAACAAAAGAGGATTATGTTCTTTTGTAGGCTTGGGAGTGTGATTCTGTCAAAAGGAAAAAGGTAGTTTTAGAGGAGAATTTGTTGAGTCATTGAAGCTCTGTAGCTGAGTGTCTACCCTCTCCAAAAGGCTGCAGCCGCGCCTAACTCGGTTTCCCAGGGTCCGCTGCTGCACGGACGCCGCCTCCTGAGCCTGGTAGCTTGGAGAGTTTCGGCTTTGCGCTGGTTACCGCCTCCAATTCCCAGCATGCCGCGGAGCGTGGGGCCTGGACGTAGACTCCATTTCCCAGCCTGCCCCGGGCCTTGGTCAAGACGTGCCGGCGCCTATAAGAGCCAGGGCTCTGCGGCCACAGCCTATTGTTAGCCGGAGCCGGGGCGGTTCTGGGCGGCTGCTGCCGAGGGCGTCCGAGTTGCCGGAGCCGTCCGCCCTCCGCCGCCTGCCGGCCGACCTGCCCACCCACCCTCCTCCCTGTCCTGTGGCCCTGGGAACTCCCCGACCATCGCTGCAGTCCCGGGACTCGCGCTGTCCTCCTTCCTTACCAGCGGGCTAGGGCGGCGGCGGCAGCAGCGGGGGTGGCAGAGACCATCACGGGAGGAGGCAACTGCGGCGGGGCCGGTAATGGGCCTGGGGGTGGCGGGGCGGAGGGTGCCGCCTTGTCCTTTCTGGGGATCGGCCCTCAGACGGCGGTGGAAGAGTGGTTACCCCAGAGCCGTGAGGATGGAGGGGTCAGAAATGCTGGCGGCTCGGACGAGAGCGGTCGGGGGCGGGGAGCTAAGGCGTCGTTGGGAAGGGGAAGAGTAGGGAGAGGCGTGGGAGCGAGAGGCACAGAGATCGCGGGCCCGGACTGTGGGGACAGCTTGAGGGAGACAGATGGACGGCTTGGAAGCCGGCACGATTGCGGATGAGGGTTAAGTTCGGAATGGAGTGGAGAAGATGTAGGATGGAGGGAAGTGCAGGAAGGGGAGGGAGAATAGAGGAAAATGTGGGAGGAGTGGTTGGGAATTTTTGAGTAGCAGGCAGGAAGGGATGGGAAACTGGGTAGGGGCTGCAGAAGATAAGAATGAGCGGGAAGGTTAACGGGAATCAGAAAGAAATGGGCCCGGAGCTGAAGGATTCAGCGGGGTTCCATTAAGGGGAACTGGTGACTTGACATGTCCTTTCAGCTCAGGTTCCTGATGTGTCTCCCATTTTTCTGGCGTTCTGTGGGAAAACGAAAGCATCACTTGCCCTGGTTGCTAGCTTGATCCTTTTCACAGGCCCAAACACGCAGCTGACTGCCATTCATCCCCTTTAGTGCTATGGTCTTGATTCATCGTTTTAAGGGGGGTTAGAGTGGCATTGTCTCACACAAACAGTTCTTCAGTATGAAACGTTAGACGTTATTCCCAAGAGACACAGTGACCCCTTGTCCTACAGTTTTCAGTTCAAGGTAAATCTATGGTTAATTCAGATTTTCCTTTTCTGCCCTGACTTTCCATCTTGCAAATCTCCAAAGCCAGAAGGATGCTGGTGTGTGCCAGAGTTATAAATGACTGGATATCCTTGAGAGTTAATGGTCCCTCCTGCATCATGTTCCAGTTCTTCCATGGAGATCTTGCTTGTGTCCTCCTTATGATGGCGCTTTAGGCACTGGAAGCCAAATTCTAACTTTGTGTCGGTGAACCGGGGAACACCAGGGAGTGTTGGAGGGGGACTTCCTAGACATACCTAGTTTAAAGGATGTTTTCACTTGAGTGCTTTAAAAGTTCATGATCCTGGTAATCACAAGGACACACAGAGCCATTAAATTCATAGTATTTAAGAATTAACCACAACATATTGTAAACGGAGAAATAGGACAGGTCATCTTATTCGGGTTGATCATAACACTTAGAAAGCTTTCCTTCCTCTGACCTAGCTACAAATGGTAGCCCTGGTGATCTTAGTAGAGATTTTGCTCCCTTAACCCTTGGCAGAAGGTTGGGTTCCAGCGGAGAGGCTTTCTCCTGTGAGATGTATACTTTGTCTTATTTTGCATTCATTTAGGAGAGAGGCTTTTATTACCTAAACTTTGCAAATATATTTTGCATACACAAAATTTGGCAGGGGCGCATTCCGGTTTTGGAGATTTGTTAAAGGAATCGTGATATGCCTGAAAAGGCTTAGATCTAGTACTAAAATGCACGTATGCATATATATCTATTTTGTTTGGTGCTAGCCTGATACTCTCTACATACTGTGAATACCTTTGGGAAATGTTAAGCTAGAAACATTTGAGAGAAGACCGGAAAGCATGTAGCCAGAAAGTGTCAGTTGACCTTTCATTTCACTGGCATTTAAAAACTTTTACAGAGGTTTGCATTATTTTCTCAAAAGCATTTGTTGTTTGAGTTGCTCATTTTGACAGTTAACTGTCAGTTATGGCCTGCATTGCCAGTCTCACCTCGATTATTTCTGTATGGGGTCAAGTGCTGGGAGTATAACTTGTGTTTCTCAAACACATGCATTGATCCTCTGCCAGGTGAGAGGTGGGAATGACTGGTTGCTGATTGTGGTTTGAAAGGAGACTGATTTGATAAATTGGAAAATGTGGAACCTATTCTAGTTGTTGCTGTTGCAAAGGAAGATCTCCACAGGCCACCGCGGAAGTGGATGGGAGGTTTGTTCTGGGTGCCTAGTGAACATTTCTATCTAACAAGTCAAGTTCACACCAGAGAGTTGGACAAGGAAAGCTGGGTTGAAATTTAAAGTTATATTGGTTGTCAGGACAGAATCGGTGGATTTTTTTTTTAAACAATGGAGTTAATGTCAGAGAATGTGATGCTAACAGATCGAGCTAAGTCAGTATACACCTTATTGACACATATAGCCATAGATGATTATTCTCAGGCATTTTAAAGAAAATATTTTTGTCCTTTGTTTCACATCTTTTTATCTTCTCTTCTTTATCTACCTCCTGTGGTTGCCCGGAAGCCACCATTCCAGCAGTGGAAGGGGAGAGGACACAGATAAAAAGGCAAAGGGGAGTGAGACTAGCAGCCAGCAATCCCTTGCTACACCAGAGTGCACAGAGATTAACCTACCAGAAATGATACCCCTGAGGGCAACTGGGTGAAGATGGGAGAATTTTGATAATAAAGATGATTTTGGACCAAAGCCAATATCATGTAGGGCTCACAGAGAAATATTCAAAGGGAATCCGCGCTGCCAGAAGCAAAGGGATACCCAGGAAAGGACCAGAAGTGCATATTTGCTTCCAGTCATGAATCTCTGAGTAATTCCAGGCTGAGGAAAAGACCTCTTTCCTAGTGGCAACGCCCCCTGGATCTCAGTTAAAACTGAGGCTGGACTTGCACCTTTCTTGAGGAAGCAGAATTTGGAGCTCAGTTTGAGTTTTCATGTGGTTGATAAGGATTTTAAATCGGGAAGAAGAATTAAATTTAGTAGTCAACATTATTCTCTTTTTTTTTTAATCCCACCCATATAAGTACTCAATTGCAAAGGTTCCTCCCCCCTCCCATAATAGAATGGAATGAGAAATTTGTTAATAGCTATCTTTAAACACAGCAGTATTCTTAACCCATAAAAAGACCTTGGCTATCTCCATTCTTACCATGTCCTAGGAATGTGACCTCTGATGGCAAGACCAGTAACCTGAAAAGCAGAATTGAAAACTAATACAATAATGTATGTCAACTGTAATTGAAAAATATTTTTAATGATTTAAAAAATAAACAAATGATACTTTGGACTCATTTTTCAATTTAATTACGATTCTTTCAAGTACTTGATTACCTTTTTTCCCCTCCCTGGCCACATTTATTTCAGGAATGCGCTTGTCTGAGACCTATATAGCTGAGGTTTCTTAGATCCCTCTTGTGACTTAAAAAGGCAGGATTTTGATGAGCTCTAGATAGATAGATACAGAAGTGTCATTTCTAAAGTACTTATTAGATCTGGTTCACTATGCAGGGCTTGTCCAAGAACACACAGATTGCATCTAAAAGACATAGTCCAGAAAAACAGCTCTGTAGCAGGCGTTTCTTGACACCACAGTATATTCTGGGTAGCTGCTGCTCTGCAGTAATGCAGCCCTGTCTTTCTGGGCAGTGTTGTTATTCCTGCTGCATAATTAGCAACTAGTGAGATCATAGTCTGGGGAGATTCTGGCATTACTGAGGCAAAGCAGGGAGGCCTCTATCATCACACATGGCTCTGGCTCTGACAGCATTTCTGTCGAGCAGATTTACCTCCTTGGGAACTAACGTCTCAAGACAGAGGAGAGATCTGTATCCAGGCTCCTTGGTTCTGTGACAGCTTGTTAAAGACACTGCCTGCCATATAGATGTAACCGGAGTAAATTGTCACTGCTTTTGCTATTGTTTCCCCCTTGCCAGTTTCTTCGCAGAGGGTGAAGGTGGGAAAGCTGAGTTTTCCTTGCACAGAGGAAGGTGATAGACCAGCAGAGCCCTGTTTTATGGAGCAGTATGAGATTGGGAAAGATTCTGAGTTTTGAACCAGTGCAGATTCTAATCTTCACTCCATTGTTTAGAACCAAATTTGACCTTTTTAGGAGCCCAGAGAGACACTTTATACTTGTGAAGATCTGGGTAAAGTGTTTCCCTGGCTGCCGCTGTACTTTGAAACTGAGAGCCTGGAGCAGTATTTCCCAAAGTGTGTTCCAAGGATCATTTGCCCCCTAAAATACTCTGGAAAACAAAGGTTCCCTAATCAGGTGTGTGAAGCCCACTGTGTTCTGTTTTCTCCTACTCCTCCCCATGCTCATTAGCGTATTAAAAGCCTCTAAGAGGTCCTCCCATAAGCAGTTTTCTAAACTATTTTAACATGACAGTCCTATTTCCATGTAAAAGCTATTAATGTCCATTGGATAAGTTTATTCCATATGTACACTTTGGGAAATGCCAGGCCATATCTTCAGTAGGAAAAATAATTGGATGTAGCCTAGGTTTGGGCACAGCCTAATTCCGCTGTTGATCCCCAGTCCCTCCTGCTGGCCCCTTGGAGAGCTCCGCCGTGTGATCAGAGGAGCAGTTCCTGTTAGGCCCCAGCTAATGAAGCCTGGAGCCCAGCTGGCTCGGAACCAAGGGCCTTCGCTCCACTGGGAAAGGTGCAGTGGTTACTCATCTCATTATTCCGAGAGTGACTGAGACTGGAGGGGCCGAGGGGAAACAAAAGTAGGAGAATGTTGGCGGGAATCAGGAGAGAAATGACCCAATCTGGAGAGCCCTGACATCAGTGCTTAGCTCAGGTGCTTTCTTTCTTCAGTCGGAGAGCTTGATTTATAGACTCGGGAGGGGTCTGTCTTAGGACAGGAATGCTGATTCCTCTTTTCCCCTGGGCAGAATCCTAATGCACCTGGCTAGCTGGTGGTGAGCGGGGGCTCTGGGGCCAACGCGGTGGGCTCCCCAAGGAAACCCCTTTGAAACCAATGGATGCATTCACGGGCTCGGGTCTCAAGAGGAAGTTTGATGATGTGGATGTGGGCTCATCAGTGTCCAACTCAGATGATGAGATCTCCAGCAGTGACAGTGCTGACAGCTGCGACAGCCTCAATCCTCCTACAACTGCCAGCTTCGCACGTGAGTGAGCCACTCCCCCACCCCACCCCACCCCACCCCTGCACCCAGTCCCCAAGCCTCAGAGCCCATTGCCGCTTTGAGACAGCTGCTGCTAACCAGCTTGGGGGTTTTCCCTTAGTCATAATCTTTCCCATTCTTAGCTCAGCCTTGCTCTTTGGAGGACCTCGTTGGTCTAATATTGTAGACTTAAGTCTGATTTATTCTAGCTGGTTTCACTTGTGCTTGGTTTGTGGGTCCCCGGAATGGGCTGAATGAAAGTGAAGGAGGAGAGGAGTGCAGGATTCTACCCTTCCCCACCGAAGTCCCATAGAGTTCCATGATACCATAGCTCCAGCAGGACACAAATCCTGACTGACTGCTCATCGAGGGCAACTCCAGATTTTTTCATCCTTATGGCTCAATTATTTTCTTGGAAAGAACGTCTGATACTATAGATCAGGGGTTGCCTGTGGGCCAAATCTGGCTCAGTGCCTACTTTTGTAAATAAAGTTTTATTGGAACACATCCACACCCATTGTCTGATTGCTTTCATGATACAATGGCTGAGTCGAGTAGTTAAAACAGAGTGCTGATGATCTGCCAAACCTAGCCCTGGCTGGTGAGGCTCAGTGGATTGTGCCTGCAAACTGGAAGGTCACTGGTTCAATTCCCTCCCTTTCTCTCTCTCTAAAAATAAATAAAATTTAAAAAGCCTAAAACACATACTAGCCTGTTACAGAAGTTTACTATCTCATTATACAACGTTGTCTAACAGAATTTTCTGTTATGAAAGAAGTGTTCTGTGTCTGCACTGCCCACTATGGTAGCCATTAGCCATGTGTAGTATTGAGCACCTGAATTGAGAATTAGTGTAACTGAGGAGCTGAGTTGTAGGTGTTACTTCATTTTAACTAAGTTTTATTTAAATCGATGTATGTGGCTGTTAGCTGCTGTGTTGGACGGTAAAGCTATATAGGTGGTTTTATCCTGAGCAGATTACCTGGAAATCCTCTTCCCGGCTGACATCTAAAAATAGATTTTGCGGTCTGTTCGGGTGCAGTCATTCTGGAGGTAGTGCTGTGGACTAGCTGATGCCGACGGTCCCTTCCAGCTCTGCATTTATGACTTGAAAATCAGCAGTGTCTCTGGGTACAGGGATCACCTTTGGAGGAGAGTTGAGAGCCTAGATGGATGAGAAGGAATAAGGTCCCCAAACAGGCTGTCTCTGGGTCAATAAAAGCACTCTGTGCTCCCTTCGCAGCCACCTCCATCCTGAAGCGGCAGAAGCAGCTGCGGAGGAAGAATGTGCGCTTCGACCAGGTGACTGTGTACTACTTTGCCCGGCGCCAGGGTTTTACCAGCGTGCCCAGCCAGGGCGGTAGCTCTCTGGGCATGGCTCAGCGTCATAATTCTGTACGCAGCTACACGCTCTGTGAGTTTGCTCAGGAGCAGGAGGTGAACCATCGGGAGATTCTTCGTGAGCACCTGAAGGAGGAGAAACTCCACGCCAAGAAGATGAAGGTGCCTAGGGGGTCTGGGCTCTGGTACTTCCCCTGTGCCAAAATAAAGTGGGAAACCGTCTAGGTCTATTGATTTTTTTTTTTTTTTTACTGTTGCCCTTGGCCTCCAGATCTTTCTAGAGAAGAGGCTCAGATTTGGAATCAAATCTCAGTCTGAGACACCCTTCTTTTGTATCTCGTGGGGAATCTACCAGAGATAGCAAAATGACTTCTCTAGAATTCCCTACTCTTGCCCCCTCATTGTTTTTTAAAGGTTTAAAATGTGAGTACTTGAAGGCATTCAAGTTTGCTCCCCCAGAACCTGAGGAAAGACAATGTTTCGGTTCCTTGTCAGTTGATTATATCTGTTGCCCGCATGCACAGGGTAGGTTTGGATCATTTCCATTGTCCGAAAGGATCCTACTGGTTCTGTAACCCCCATGATCTCTAGGTGATAGTCTTTGGGTATAAACAACAGCATTACTGAATGGCTATTTTGATTGTATAATCTGCGCCTGCCGCTGGTGTTGCCCCGGCTCCTCAAGTGCGGGAGGAGAGCGGGCCTGGAAGGGGCCCGTCTCAGATGGTGCTGTATAGCCACCCATTTGCTCTCGTAGCGCTGCTGGACACTCTACAGCCATAGTTTCCACCAGTCAGCAAAAATTGCCCCCAGAATTTCTAGTTCCAAATTGGAAGAACACTGCTTTAGGCCTGGCCAAGTTTCTGGTGGGCCCATAGTAAAACGGTGGCTGCACTGTTTCCAGGGCTGGGGGTGAAATCCTGTTGAGACAACCGCGGTGTCGCAGGGTTGGAGGACTGGTGGCAGAGGGTGCAGGCTAACTAGATCCCTGCCTTTCTCCCTTTGGGAGCTCTGTGTCTGCTCCCCTCAGCCTGCTCCTAAAGCCTTACACCTGTTCTCCTAACTGGAACGACATTCAGGCTTCCCTTTCTTCTGTCTGAGGAATTCCAACACTGACCCCGTCCCCTTCCTGCTGCTATAGCAACAGCTGGGCAAATATACACTGTTCTCGTCATCTGCAGTGAAGGCTTCCCTCTCCCCAGGAAGAATCCCTCTCCCAAATCTGGTAGACAAATGACCTGTGAGAACAGGATGTTGTCATGTTCTGTGGCCTCCCACAGAGGAGGTCCAGAGACAAACCCAAGGCTTAAGGTACAGGACTCCTGCTTGTAGCAGGTTAGTGCACAGCAGCTGTGCTGGCCTCTAATACAACTTTCTGTGTCAAGAGGAAACCCTTCACCCTCCCCAAGTCTGGTTTACTCTTTTCTTAGAACTTTTTCTATCTTTACACTCCATAGGGGAGGCAGTTGCCCTCAAAAATATATATTCTGGCCCTGGCCGGGGTAGCTCAGTTTGCTACAGCATTGTCCCGGTACGCCAGGGTTGCAGGTTCATTCCCCAGTCATGGCACATACAAGAAACCACCAATGAGTGCGTAAATGAGTGGAACGACAAATTGACGTTTCTCTAAAATCAGTAAAAAACATTTTAAATTAAAAAATATATTCTCTATCACCTATATGCCATCTAATATTTATTTTCCTTCTGGGCTACCACAAAAAAAAAAAGAAGAAAGGAAAAAGCTGGTGGTACTCTGCAGCTTTAGTTGCCAATAATTTTTCTAATATTTTTACTACTTTTTTTGCCTTTTATCCACATGGAATTTATTATTATGAATAGTATGGATTGGAGATCTAACTTTTTTTAAGAATATTCAGTTGTCCCAATACCATTAAATTATTAGAAAACTGACAAATGATATGAAAGTCACCTCTATCATGACATATTAAATTTTTATATATACATGGGTTTCTTTCTGTTGCACCTCTGATCTCGAGAGAAGAGCAGGATCGAGGGTGATTGGGGAGGAAGCCAACCCAGGTGAAATAGATAGGAGCAATCCTAAGGTCTGCAGCAAGACCCCTGTAGTTGGTACAGAAATAATAGACTGCTGTGGCTGGCATGGTTCAGTGGATTGAGCACCAGCCTGCTCAAAGGGTTTGGATTGAGCACCAAAGGGTCGCCGGTTTGATTCCCAGTCAGGGGAAATGCCTGGGTTGCAGGCCAGGTCCCCAACAAGGCGCGCATGAGAGGCAATTGCACATTGGTGTTTCTCTCCCTCTTTTTCTCCTTCCCTTCCCCTCTCTAAAATAAATAAGTAAATGCAATCTTTAAAAGAGAAGAAAAATAATAGGCTAAGGAATTCTCAAAAGGACCACTTTCTCTCCTCATTTTTCTACCAGCTCCTTGCTAACAAGCAAACGAACAAAACAGGTATGTAGCCTGTTACCCAGCTCTCTTGCATCACATCTCTCCCAGGAGTTGTTCCTTTACCAGCACTACTCCGTGGCTGTCTGACAAAATAAGCCAAACCCTCCAGTAGCTTGGCTTTCTTCCTGCTAGTAGCTTTCAGAGCCCTGGGGATTGTAAGGCCTCATTTTCTTTACTTGAATTCTCTAGCACGTTTTCAAAACTCATTGAGCTATGGATTGTCTTCAACTTGTCCTTCCGCTAGGATTCCCTTTTCCTGACTGCCTGTCTCTCCTAGCCCAGAGAACCCAGACCTGCCTGTAGATAATACAGTCAGTGTCACACATGCCACCCTACCTCACCTACAACTTTTCTTAGAAATTAACTAAAAACAGATTAGAAAGGAGAAAGAATGCACATACAATTTTTTCTAGACCGTGGGCTGGAAGCAAGGGCTTGATAGTCCTAAATAATTTTCTCATTTTTTTCCTTCCGATAATATGAAGCTCTTCTGAATAGAGAATTGTTCACAGTGTGGAGATGCAGGCTCATTGACAAGGACATGGTAGCCTTGTACTACCCTCCAATGCACCTGTCTCCAAAATGGTTTTGTGTCCTTCTGGCTGCAAAGTGAAGGGTATAAGGCTTCCTGTTTTCCTGCTGTAGATGAATCCTCTTGACCTACACTGTCCAGTATGGTAGCCACACATGGCTATTTATACTGAACTAAAATCAAGTAAAATTTAAAACTCAGTTTCTCAGTGGCACTAGCTACATTCACAGTGCTCAGGAGCCACGTGCTAGTGGCCCCTGTATTAGACAGCACGGGTATTTCATAGTGCAGAAAGTTGAGTTGGATCCTGCTGCTCTGAACCATGCTAGCCTGGGAGGAAGCTCCGGCTGATAAGGCCCTAGAGGCTAACCTTTCCTTCCTGTCTCTTGGCAGCTGACCAAGAATGGGACAGTGGAGTCGGTGGAGGCCGATGGCCTGACACTGGATGATGTTTCTGATGAAGATATTGATGTGGAAAATGTGGAGGTCGATGATTACTTCTTCTTGCAACCTCTGCCCACCAAACGGCGACGGGCCCTGTTGAGGGCTTCTGGGGTGCACCGCATTGACGCTGAAGAGAAGCAAGAACTTCGAGCCATCCGCCTGTCACGGGAAGAGTGTGGTTGTGACTGTCGACTGTATTGCGACCCAGAAGCGTGTGCTTGTAGCCAAGCTGGGATTAAATGCCAGGTCAGTCCACATTGGCCTGAGGTGGCGTATCTGCACTAGAGTCAGGGATGTGGTGTGGGGGCCCCTGCAGCGGAGACACCTGTTATCTCGTCTGTGTTTTATACAGTGTCTCGGGGGCATAAGCAGCTGTCAGCAAATGGAAGAATGGGGGTTAGTAAATGTAACACTTAGTAACTGTTCCCTAAATAATGACCGGTCCATTGAGAGAAAAGGAAGCAGAGAAATGAGGTAGGCCTTTAGATTTTATCTGGCAGACACTTATTCACAGTACCTCTAGTTCAGTTTTATAAAAACTGAAAGAGTTCTTGGATCCTGTCATCCAGGATCACACTTGGCCCGGCAAAGCTTAAATTCATAGTGTCCTGAAAGGTAGAATGCATCGACCTCCCGCTGGCCCTCGGACGGCCAGCGTGGAAGATGCATTTCAACTGAAAACAGCAGTACCATCCTGAAGAGTGAAATGTATCTGGAGCTTGTATACTGAGGGTATGGATGCTGAGTCCTTACAGTTGAACTTCTCCTGACCAACCTTTTCTTATTTTTGGGTAGGTATCATAGATCTAAACAAATACTGCTTTTCAGAGTGAAGTCCCACAATGAATCAGTCTGCTACCCACAGACCAGAGGGCAGTCCCGGTGATTAGATGGTCCCTAAGCAGTGAAATGAAGAGCTCTTTAAGCTGACGTCATAGGAAGACATTGTGTATTTGAATATACCAGCTTGCTCATTTCTTTTTGCTACTTTTTTCCCTCTTTTAGGGGACTCAAAAAGGAGAAAAGGGGCCTGACTGGTGTTGCTCAGTGGTTTGAGCGTGGGTCTACAAACCAAGGGGTTGCCTGTTCGATTCCCAGTCAGGGCACATGCCTGGGTTGCAGGCCAAGTCCCCAGTAGGTGGTGCAAGAGAGGCAACCACATGTTGATGTTTCTCTCCCTCTCTGCCCTGCCCCAGTCTCAAAACATAAATTAAAAAAAATCTTAAAAAAAAAAACACCAACCAATGAATGTATAAATGAGTGGAACGACAAATTAATGTTTCTCTAAAATCAGTAAAAAATGTTTTAAATTAAAAAATATATTCTCTATCACCTATATGCCATCTAATATTTATTTTCCTTTTGGGCTGCCACAAAAGAAGAAAGGAAAAAGCTGATGGTACTCTGCAGCTTTAGTTGCCAATAATTTTTCTAACATTTTTATTACTTTTTTTTTCTTATTGCTTATCCACATGGAATTCACACCAGCCCGCGAAAGGTTCGATTCCCAGTCTCAGGCTGGTTGCGGGCCAGGTCCCCAGTGTGGGGCATGCAACAGGCAACCACACATTGATATGTCTCTCCCTCTTTCTCCCCCCTTCCCCTTTCTAAAAAATAAATAAAATCTTTAAAAAAAATTTTTTTAAGGAGGTAGAAAGCATCTCTTTTCCAGATATCCCTGGTGCGAAAGTTATCTTGGTTATTGCCTCAGCACCAGCCCGATCAGCCATCGGGGGAAATGCAGCAGGCGGAGTTTCCCCAGAATGTATTTGTCTGGACCAGCAGGGGCCCTACTCCCTTTCCCTGCCTGTCATCGCAGGAGAGGAAGCTCAGACCCCAGACTGTGGTTTCCCCAGTAAACCCAGTAACTTCTGAAGCAGTATCTGAGACATGTAAATTTCTTTTGCTTTGAGAACTGTTGGTGCTTAGAGAGGTATCTCTGGACTTTTGAGCTCGGAAGTGCCCTCTGATAAGACTTCTACTTTTTGTTGAAAAGAGGAAACAAAGCCCTAGAGAGAGAACAAAGCTGCACTAGGATTAAAACACGAGTGGCTTGCTAACCTCTGGTGCTGTCTTAGTTCACGCTGCATGTTGTTTTGAATTGGTTATCTCTTAGAAAGAGACCACAAGTCCCAGCTGCTTGTTTTTGCCAGCTAATGTCTCCTGTCACCTTTGTTAAATCTGTTGGTCTCTCCTCACCTCAACCTCCCTGTGCCTTCCCCAGGTGGACCGCATGTCCTTTCCGTGTGGCTGCTCCCGGGATGGCTGTGGGAACATGGCTGGGCGCATTGAATTTAACCCAATCCGGGTCCGGACTCATTACCTCCACACCATCATGAAGCTGGAGCTGGAGAGCAAGCGCCAGGTGAGCCGCCCGCCCGCCCCAGATGAGGAGCCCTCGCCCACCACCAGCTGCAGCCTGACCGGGGCACAGGGGTCTGAGACGCAGGACTTCCAGGAGTTCATTGCTGAGAACGAGACGGCAGTGATGCACCTACAGAGTGCAGAGGAGCTGGAGCGGCTCAAGGCAGAGGAAGACTCCAGTGGCTCTAGTGCCAGCCTGGACTCCAGCATAGAGAGCCTGGGTGTGTGTATCCTGGAGGAGCCCCTGGCCGTCTCCGAAGAGCTGTGCCCAGGCCTGACAGCCCCCATTCTCATCCAGGCTCAGCTGACCCCAGGCTCCTCGGTCCTGTGTTTTGCCGAGAACTCGGACCACCCAGCTGCTTCAGCAGTGACCAGTCCGTCCTATTTGAACAGTGGGCCCCTGGTCTATTATCAGGTGGAGCAGAGGCCAGTCCTGGGGGTGAAAGGAGAGCCTAGTACAGGAGAAGCCCCACCGTCCTTCCCCAGGGAGAAGGATCTCAGTGTCTTCTCTCTCCCTGTTACCTCACTGGTGGCTTGTAGCCCCACAGACCCAGCGGCCCTCTGTAAACCAGAGGTCGGGAAAACATCCACTCTAGAAGCGCTAGTGCCCGAAGATTGTAACCCTGAGGAGCCGGAGAACGAAGACTTCCGCCCCTCGTGGTCCCCCTCGAACCTCCCCTTCAGCACGGACAGTGAAGAAAGCTGTGTGGTGGAGAAGACCTCACAGCAGGGCGAGGACCGGCCCCCTGAAGACCCTTCTCTGGAACTTCCTCTGGCAGTGTGACATGCAGAGAGAGATTCTGCCTCTTACCCTTCTCTATTTATTCCCTTATTTTATCTAACACCGTTTCAGAACAAACTGTAGAAGCAGCTGCTGCTCCTATGTTATTTTATTGGGGTCTTTGGGGAATGGGTGGGAAAGGATTGTTTGTACAAGTATTTTTAAAAGGGTTAACAGAATCAAGACCAGCCCCAGCTTGATCTGGGGATAGTCTTGGGGCAGAGGAGGCTGCACAGTGCCCAATACTGCGCTTTCTGGGCCACTAGAACAAAGAACTAGGATCTCACAGGAGAATCTAGGTAATTCAAGCAGCTGTTCTTTATGTAGGGATCAGAATACATAATTTGAACAGCATGGCAAAACCCCTTCTCTCCTGAGCTCCAGGGCAGGGTACAAGCTCATTTTTCTCGGTAGCTACTCCGATATCCCATTTTGGTGTGTTGTAACAACAGTTGGAAATGTTGCCTGGAGAGGAGGGGGTAGAAGGGTCTCTGCCTCTGTACAAAACCTCTAGGATTTATAAAAATTTAACCTGTCCTCCCCGGTCCCCCATTTGGTAAATAAGTTAATATTTGACATGTTTGGTGTTCTCTGACTTGTTCCCCACACTGGGGATTCCTGGTTTGTAACTTGAATTGTTTCTTTCTCATGTTCTTAGGTACTAGGGTTTAACTCGTCTGTTTGCCTCCCCCTCCCCACCCTTGGCCTGCCTTGAAGAGCTAGATTGGCCGGGGACGTGGCACAAAGAACCCGTCTTTGTGTGTGTCTAACACTAGCTCCGTCAGGCCGCTCTAGGCTGGGCCCACAGAGGCGTACGTGGAGCGCTAAGTGTGTCCAAAGGAGGCCGCAGGAGCAGACAGCAGCTGCAAAGGTGTTGACTTTGTGCCGTGCTTGCTTTCACCCAGGCACCACCCGACCCTCCTTGGGAGATTTGAGCTTTAAAGGAATATAGGATGTGGCAGTCTAAGGTCACCAACCAGTTTTGGGTTTTGTTTTGTTTTTTCCCTGTATCTACCCTGGTGGTCCTTCTTGGATATATCGGGTTGGAGATTTATACCATTCCAGTTCACCCCCAAGAGCTACACATATTTATTAGACCCCTCCATCTTGATATATAAAAATTGGAAGTAAAAAAAAAATTGGATGCCAAATAAATTCTTAAATGCTACATACAACTTCCACATTCCAAAGAATTCAAGTTCTGCTGACCCCCTCCGAGGTCTAGAGCAGGACTCAGACCCAGTTCTTACCTCTGCCTGGGCACACAGCTCCTGCCCCTCTCACGTCCAGCTTTCGTTCCTGTGCGCGCGCCACTGAACTCATCAGCAAGGTTATCTTTGCTTTAAAATGGAGATAGTAGGGAGCAAGACACTCTGCTCTAGTGTCCTTTACAACATGCTTTGCTGGTTACGGTTCATTAACCAGGGTAGAACAAAGTGGAAAACCTTTCTTGGTGGGGGAGATCGCTGTTCCTGCTTATCTTGCTCATAAAGCCTCTTCTTGTGGGACACAGACCCTGGGGTCTTGGAGCGGCCTTCATGTATGTCCCAGCAGCACTTCACCTGTAAAATTGCTGAACTGAGCCTGACAGGCCTTGTACTTAACACGCAGACATCTTTTAACCCACCTGCCTCCCCGTTCCTGGCGGGGAGGGTTCTTAGTTAAGTACATGGGTCCTTAACACTCCCCATCCTCTAGCCTCATGAGACAGAGTTGAGAGCCTTATGTACCTGAGATCTAGAAACTATTCCAAACCGATTTGCAACCCTCCCCACCCCGCACCTTAGACTGGTCCCCTGAAATACAAGACTGAAGCTTGATTGGGAATTGGACTCTGGGGAGAAGAATCTGTCCGAAAGTTTGTGTTGGAGGGTGTGTTGTAAACATTCCCTCCTTAGGAAGGGTTCCTACTCTAGGAAGTGTTTCCAGTTGCTCAGAGACACATTAGCCTTTGTGATCAAAGCAAGATTTTGAGTCTAATTTATTAAACTCATTGCCAACCCCCATGATGATGACTTTTCTGAAGAAACTAGTTTTCTTCATCTAAACCCTTTGTTAGCTCTACAATTCTGACTCACACTGATCCTAAGCTTTTAAATGCTAAGTGTTAACATTTAGCACTAACTATGTTGTTAAGCAAAGGGCCTTTTCTACAACCTGGTCCATCTCATTTCTGGTGCTACCTGAGTTGGACACAATTAGAGCTCATGGTTGCTAGAAAAGCTAGGCCTCTGGTCACAGAAGCAGGGCTTCGTGGTCACTGAGCTTTGATCCTGCTCAGTCCAGGCCTAGATAAAAGAAACGACTTCTTATTGCAACTCATTATTTTCCAATCTCCTCATATACTATACACAGGTTGTATTTTCAATGTGAATCCAAAGCTTGTCTGGTTCTCTGAAAAAAACTTTTTTTTTTTTTTGCCTTTTAGGTCCTTTACATTGTAATAATGCTGTATTTAAAGAAAATATTTAAATGTAATATTAAAGAAATATTCAAAAGAATGGTGTGTTACTCTTTATCTTGGCAGGCCACAATCCAGTTACTTGTTAGAAAAAGGATACTTCTCCAGCATTGTATATGAAACTAATTAGGTCAGTTAGGGATTAATGTTAATGATAGAAGAGTTTCACAGTGGAAAAATAGAACGTTCTCTTTGGAGCATCAGGAGCGTCACTTGCATCATATGCCCTTAGCCCCTCATCAGCTGAACAGGCTCGGATCCTGCCTGGCTGGAGTTTTTCCCTGTCTGCGGTCCCTACTCTTGGGGCCCATTTTCAATTTCATTACTTTTTTTAAAGATCTTATTTATTTTTAGAGGGTAAAGGAGAGAGAAAAAGAGGGAAAGAAACATCAATGTGTGGTTGCTTCTCACATGGCCCCCACTGAGGACCTGGCCTAACCCAGGCATGTGCCCTGACTGGGAATTGAACCAGCAGACTGTTGGTTTGCAGCCTGTGCTAAATCCACTGACCTACACCAGCCAGGACTCAATTTCATTATTTTATATAGAGAGAGAGAGAGAAGAGAGAGTTTTTCTTTCCTAGCTATTTAAAATCCAGGAACAGAATCAACTTCAAATCAGTTCCTCTGTAACTGCCATCCCATCAGAAAGTTCTATTCCCACCAGTTATCTCCCCTATTAGTTAGGTTATGCGTCTTGTAAAGGAGCCTTAGCAAAATGATTAGAGTATGCACAAGTAATTTCCAGCAATTGATTTCAGACCGTCTTTACTTGGGTTTAAAAACAGTACTTCATGCATTCACAATAAGTTACTACAGGTCACTGATGGACATACAGAGACAAAAGCTAACCCCAACTTACTATCTTGATGCAGACCTCTCCTGGCCTCCCAGGCTGGGTAGTAACTAGTACGGGACGGGCTTCATCCTCGGCCCAAAGAAGGCAGCCACTGTAGGTGACAGTGGGAAGGCTGCAACACAGTGGAGGTAGCAAAGAGTTTAAGATCCACAGGGATTGTAGCACAGCCCAGAAATTAAGACAAGGGTGTGAAGGCTTTAAACCCCAGGGAAGGGGTCAAGAAGCGCTTGTATTTCCTTTCATCTTTTCTATTCAAATGTTCCCATAAGTTATTCACTAAAAAATGAAAAATGCAACTTTTTCTTATTCAGGAAAAAAGTTACAGTGGTAAAAGGATTTGAGAAGGAAAGAGAGGTTAGTTACCCCAATGAAAGGGACAAAAAAATTTCTTATTTTTGGTCACCTCAGGGTTCAGAGGAGCATCAGAGGACATGCATGTAACTGCTCCAGTGTAAGTGGCGCTGTCCCCTCACCAGCCAGAAACCGGCTTTAACAAAAACACTGCTCAAAAGAAGGTCGCAGTGCTGGGCCCTAGGCCAGACGAGGACTCCCACCTGGGGCAGACGCTTCCTAGGATCTGCACTAAGCGTGTCACAGTAACAGCCCAGTACAGTGGCTGCTTCCACTGCCAGCTAATTCCAAGGGAGTTGGGAATGACACCTCACATGGGCCACCTCTGTAAGAGGGTTTGTTTCGGTTCCAGCTCCCACTTGGGTGCCGCACTGAAGCCCGTGGCACCCGCTCCTCGGCCTCTCACACACCCAGCAGTGCACACAGACTGTGCTGACAAGTACTGCTTGGTCCCACGCTGCGGTGCTGTGACGGCAGGACAGTGGCATCCGCTACACGTTCCCTCAGCGCCTCGTCCCAGTGTAGTTGATGGAAAGCAGGATCACATTGTGTAGCAAAAGGGACAGCTCAGCTTCTGAAAACACCATCAGCGTTAATGGTTTGGCCAGGGAACAGCTTGCCTTCCAACTGCCTTGGTTCACAGGACTGGAAGCCAGAGGCAGGAAGCCGGGTGCAGAAGGTGTGACGTAACGGGCTGTTGTTCTCCAGCTCCCCTGCATCGCTCCAGTCCCTGCATGGTGTGCTCTCCTCTCCTTCCAACACAGACCCCTATCTGCTCACCCTCATGTCTTTTTTTTTAGAGGGGAAGGGAGGGAGAGGAAATAGACATGTGAGAGAAATGTTGATTGATTTCCTCTAGCAGGTCCCCGCCTGGGAATCTGACTGTAACCCAGGCATATGACTGGGAATCGAACCAGCAACCTTTCAATTCGCAGGCTGGCACTCAATCCACTGAGCCGCACCAGCCAGGGCTTATCCTCGTTTCTTGACTCTCCTGTGACAGCAGCAGAAAATTCAGAGACAGCAATGGTATTAAACACCACTGTCACCCTTGGGATTCTTCTGGTAGAAGTTAGTGCTCTGGGGATATTTCTCAACTGGGACGGGATTAGCAGGCCTACCTGATATTCACAGGCTTAGGAAACATCAAGGCCTAGCCAAAGGTTCCGAACAGGAGACCCACCAGCCTAATACTCACCTTAGATGCTTATTGTTTAGCCAATTGAGTGGTTTTGTTTTGAATCTGAATACCTTTAAGGCTAGTACTTCTCAACTCGGACACTTCTGCTCTCCCCTCCCGCCTGGGCATTTGGCAAAGTCTGAAGACGTTTTAGGTTGTCAGAAGTGGGGCAAAGGGTGGTACCAATGACATGTAGTGGGTAGAGGCCAGGGATTTTGCTAAACACCCCATAAAGCACAAGACAGCCTTCACAACAGAGCATCGATAGTGCCGAGGCGGAGAACCGCTTCAGACAGGCGTGCACTCACGCCTGTGCTCCCACCGTCCCCACTGTGCACTCGCTCGTCTGGTACAGTCCATTTCGTTACCTGCTTAACCCCTATAGGCTAATGAGCTTGTGCCTTCCAGTTAGACATATGTGTGAGAGAAGGGCCTCACAGTACTCAATAATTAAATCCAAAATAGCCCTGGCAGGCATGGCTCAGCGGATTGAGCACCAGCCTGTGAACCAAAGGGTTGCTGGTTTGATTCCCAGTCAGGGCACATGCCTGGGTCGCAGGCCAGGTCCCCAGTAGAGGGCACATGAGAGGCAACCACACAATGATGTTTCTCTCCCTCTCTTTCTCCCTCTATTCCCCTGTCTAAAAATAAATAAGATCTCTAAAATAAATAAATAAATCCAAAATAATCTTTGAATAAAATACAAAAATTACTTGGATTTTGGTTATGCCAGAGATCTGCCTTACCCTTCAGGTTACAGGAAATCTGCAGCCATTCCGCCAGCCAAGTCCGACACCTCTCTTCTGCAATAAGGGTAGAATTCAAGCCACGAAGATAACAAGCCTGCAACACTCGGGAGAGAAATGGTCCTTAATAATCACAGAGCAAGTGTGCCATGGAAGTGTAACCCCACAAATAACCCAAAATCGCCTCGAAGTAAGTTACAACCTCATCCCAAGAAACCTTTCTCCACGGCAGTTTGAACTAAGATGACAAGCAAAGAGGCCTATAGACGCTAGAACAGTAGATCTAAGGTGTGATGGCCTCGATTTCTGAAGGGCCAGCTAGAACAGTAGATCTAAGGTGTGATGGCCTCGATTTCTGAAGGGCCAGGAGAAACATAAACCAAAATTACTATGGGCAATTTCTTCCCAGTACTTTAAGTTCACTGAGGAAAAAAAAAAGATCTAGAAATGAGGTGAGAGAATGAAGAGCTTGAATTTTGCTATAACAAGCAAGACAACGAGCTCTTTCTAAGCTCCCAGCCCTGTGAACTTGAAAGTCCACCCAGGGTGGAGGGTTGGTACTGCACTCAGGCTCTCACCGATTTCACTTCCTGTGCGGTCAGCTGGCTGATCCCCAGCTTTGCCAAAGCCTTGTCCAGCTGGTGAATCACAGTGGTGTGAGTCTTTAAACGGTGTCTCAACAAGGCAGATGGCAGGTGAGGCGTGAGAAGCATAGCTCGACTCAAGGCTTTCTGTGACACAACAATATAGGACGAGAAAATTAACACAGCACCAGTGCAAGCAAAGACCTGAAGCAAGGTGAAGCTGTGGGAAGAGAAAGCCTCCGAGTACTCACCATTTGCAAAGTAGGGAGTTGGTCCATGCCCAGAGGACGCTTAGAGAAACCCTCTCTCAGAGCCAGGATATCCTGTGCTGCCGGATGGGTACCGCGCTGCATCTTGGGAGAGGGTGGGAGAGGTAAGAGATAGGTGGCTATTGCAGACTGATCTCACAAGTTTCCCAGTTTGGAACAAGGAGGAATACCTTGGTGCACAGCTCTGTCATGTGCCACCGGAGTCCTGCATCAGAAATGTGGGGGGTAATTTTTTCTAAATAACAGAGGATTTCTGGGTGGGACTGCTTCCGAATAGCATGATAGATCTCTAAGAAGTCAATTTGTTGCTTTGGGGTCCAGAAATGTTTGATCAGTAGTTGCCTAGGAAACAGATACCTGAAAGGAAAAGGAATCAAACAGTCACTTGCTGAAATTGGCATCTTTCAAAGCCTTTGGCAGACGTGAATACGAGGAAGGGGAGGTGGAGACCCTGTCTCCCTACCACACTGCTCTTTCTTTGCAGATGCTCTCAGACCAAGGTTTAGAGACGCAGTAAAGCACAAGGCTGAGCTGCACTGCGGAGGTTCTGTGAAAGGAAGCAGCAGTGGAAGAGGAGTGCAGGCAGCGGCCAGATAAAAATGACTCCTTTGTACCAACACTAGTGAGAATGTTGGACACAGCTGGACAGAGTTAGAGAGCTGGACACTATGTGATGCTGACAACCTCAACCAGTAACGCAGTCTTCAGGTGTATACAAAGTAGAAAGGGCAAAATTGCTTTTAATTTATTTCTCTACCTGTGTGATGGTTTTAAAACATGGCCACAAATTCCCTTGCACTCCTCTTATTGAGAAGTGATGTCTATGTCCCTTTTTAAAATCTGGGTGACTGACTCAGCCAACAGAAGAGAGCAGAAGTATGTCTTTGTGACCTCCAAGCCTGGGGTACAACGGTTTCTCTGGGCCATGCAGATTCTTCCTTCCTGGCACACTCACTCCTGGAGCCCTGAGCTCCCACGGGAGAAGTCGCACTGCCCTGAGGCCACATTAAAGAGGCCACAAGAAGGCACTGTGGCTGACAGACCCAGTCTTCCAGCCACCCCTGCAAAGGCACCAAACTTGAGAGTGACTTCAAACCACCCCGACTAGTACCTTCACCACTGTCAATGAGGGACCTCTGTCAACACCACATGGAAGAGAAATGTCCATCACCGACCTGACCAAATTCCTGACCCAGCAAATCATAAAAATGGTGCTTGTTTTAAGCCATTAAGCTTTGAAGTTGTTTGTTGTGCAGCAACAGACAACATGCAAAGTCATAATCTAAAAGTGTCATCTTCAGAGATAAAGTAATAGATTTACGTTTTCAAAATATGAAATGCATTTTTCTCCTGAAGAAAAAAATTTGTCCCAAATTGCTATGTCTCTCAGGGAGTGGGTTACTGCCTCTAGGGATAATGAAAAAGGTTGTTATCTTATTTTACATCATGTAGGGGCAGCTCAGAGACAGGGAGAGTCCAGGCCACCTACACTTACAGCTGTCCCAGTAACCCAGGCATTTGGAGTGGCTTTTCTGAACCTGGGGCTAATGGAAAGACTGGAGCAGGAAGTTTGATAACTTCTGCCTAGCTGCTGAATGGAAAGTTCTCCTTAAAATAATTTGTGATTTTTTAAATCTATAGACCTTCAGTATGCTAGGGAGACAGAAGTCTGTACTCACATTAGCAAGAAGACCAGGTAGTTGGCAAAGGGCGGAATGGAAATAATACCTAGGAAGAGACACTTGGTGACGTCTCGACGGAACTACGCAGAAATAAACACAGATGCAGTTTCAGCCCACATTCTTAACACAGTGGCCACCCTGCCACCCCACTGTGCGGCCAGCTTCTATAGCCCAGCCAACGGTCAAGGTTATTTCTGTCTACCTGTAGCTGGTAGGTTCCTTGAAGACAAAAGCCCTGATTAATTTACTTTTGTATCCCAAATATTCTCGAGAACAAGGCCTGACATTATACCAAATCCCTCAGTGAGTTATTCCTGATCTGCAGAATGGGTCCTAGAGTCTTACTCTCAGCTTTGAAACTACTCATCAAGTCACCACCAAATATCACTTTCCTGCTGCCTTTTGATCCTTGCAGATTTCTCTATGTTCAGAAACAAATTAGATTTTACTGTCTATAACTTTTATTCAGAAAATGTGCCCAAAATTCTATAGAGCTCTGCTATGGATGGCTACAACTATGAAAGAATCCAATTTTGGCAAATAATCTGATGCTCTCATTTAATTCAATACTTTAATCTCATGGCAAAGGGCAAACCCTTAGTCAGTGGTTAACAAAATTGAAAAGAAAAAAACTTGAGATCTTGGTTAACTTTAATTACCTCACCATGAACTTCTGGGTACCTGGCCCTGGCCCATACCTGTCTCAAATGCTCCATCTCCCGGTATGAGAGTTGATGAAACTTTATATTGTGCTTCCACATGTTTGTCTTTATTCTTTTAGTCTTTTTGGCATCAGCCCAAATCATCTGCAATCCTGCCTCATTGAAGCAGAGGACAGAGTGTGACGTTACCCCAGTATGAAGCTTACCACAGCCTCCTATTCCAAGCCCACCCACAACACACACGTTTGTCCCTCCCCAACACTCCTCGACATTAAAATTTCCATCTAGGTCACTTGAAGCTCGTTAGGCCACCCTACATGTCTTTTCTCATCCTTTTTCCCACAGCACATCACCTCTCTTCCAGCCAAGCGGGCCTTCTGCAATCTACTATGGAATGGTCTCTCTTTTCTGCTTCATTACTCAATCCCATTTTAAAGCAAAATGTCAAAGCTCCCTAACCTCAGGAAGTCTTGTCCAATCAACTCTGTGTATTCCCCAACCAGAAATTAACTTATCTCCTTTCTAGAACACTTTTATAATTACTGTAATGCAACATATTTCTATGGTTGTATTTTTCTCTTCATTCTAGAATTCTTACATTTATCTAGAACATTAGTTTTTAAAAATGCTTTCCTACTTGTGAAAGAAATAATATACTGTCTAGGTTGGCTCCAAAATAATACAGAAGAAAGCATGTGTATAAATTAAATAAAATGGGAAGTTGTGAATTAATTGCTGAAGTGAGGTTGAGCACACAGAAGCCCATTGTATTATTTTCTCTACTTTTGCATATGTTTAAATTTTTCCATAATAAAAGGCTTAAAAACAAAACAACCGCCCTGGCTGGCATAGCTCAGTGGATTGAGCATGGGCTGTGAACCAAAGCATCGCAGGTTCAATTCCCAGTCAGGGTACATGCCTGGGTTGCAGGCCATGGCCCCCAGCAACCGCACATTGATATGTGTGTCTCTCTCTTTCTCCCTTCCTTCCCTCTCTAAAAAATAAATAAATAAAATTAAAAAAAAAAAACAACCAAAATACTTTCAGACCCTTTTCTATTTGATCCTAGTTACAAACTGGGGGCTGACAAAGCAGCCTTTCATATCTCCACTTTACAATTAAGGATAAGTCATTTGCACATCCACACAGCTAGTAATAATTATGATAATATTCAGAGCTGACAGTGTGGCATTTATTCTAATTGGTATTATGGTAAAAGTATAGGGTATAATAATAGTTATGGCTACATTTATTGAGCCCTTACTATATCAGGCCTTAACTACTTTACATGTGTTAATTTAATCTTCACAACCATAAGGTCACACAGGTAGGTTTCATTATTATCCCCAATTTACAGATAAAAAAACACAAATGACAAAGAGGTTAAGTAAGCTCAATCACACCGCCATTAACAAGCAGGGATTTGAACCCAGGCACTCTGGCTCCAGAATAGACACTTGGCACTATACCATCTCCTAGTAATTAGCACAGCTCTGATTTGAACCAAGACATTCAAAAACCAAGCATTGCACAGCTATTTCCACAACATGCTAACTAGGATAGGTTTGTAACAAGCCTCAAACCACATTTTCTTATGGGCCAAGTCAACTGATAAATCACAGGGCAAGTCTGTGCAGCCACAGACCCCTGCTGCTGTGCATGGCAAAGAATTTCTACTATAGGTAAGTGTGTGGTTAAGAAAAGTGCAAAAATACCTATATTCCCACTGGATATTGTTAAAAGTTGTTTCTCATAATACTTTTCTTTAATTTTTTAAAACTTACTAATTTGAGAGAGGGAGGGAGACAGACATCATTTGTTTTTCCACTTATTTGTGCATTCATTGGTTGATTCATGTATGCACCCTGAGGGGAGGGGCTTGTTGAACCTACTCTAACCAACTAAGTGTATAGGGATGATGCTCTAACCAACTAAGCTACTCCACCACACCCTCAAGAAGTGCTAACTTAAAAGATTTATTTTAACACTCAAGCATTTATGAAACATAAGACCCCAGCTCACTCTCCCATAACAAAACCTGCAAATTCTTACTTTAACCCTCTGACATTGCCCAAGACCTAATTCTAGTGATTTCTATTTCAATTTTGGTTTTACCTTTCATGAAGGTTGTGTACAGGACATAGAAGCGGGGGAAATGACGATCCAAAAAACGATGGTACTTCCCACTAATCACTTTTGTCTTAGTCACCACATAAGAGATTAAGCTCTTCACATCTGCCTTTGGAGAAAGGTGAAGCTTTGAAGACCTACAAGGAGGATCAAAGAGACTATCTGGGAACCAGTCCAAGAAGCCTCTTCACACCTGCGTCCCTAATGTAAAACACAGGCCTCATAGAATGTACACTAAAACCTCCGAAATACAAGGAAGACCTAGGGATCAAGAGGAGATAAGCAATCAGACTGAGAAAAACAAAATGAGGCAGATGAAAGGCTAAGCAGGAAAGAGAGTTCGGGAGTGGCATGAGTCCGGAGGGAGCGCGCGAGGCCTGAGGCCAGAGCAGGAGGATAAAGCCAGACGGGTGGGACCGAGGTAAACAGCGGTAAAACCTGAGTCAGAAAAGGGAAGCCGGAAAAACGAACTAACGGCGCTCCGGGATTCTAAATAGGGCTCTAAGAATTCAGAACGTCAAGAAGCCAGGTCACTAGCGGGGATCGGGGTGCGATTTCTGAACAGAATAAAAATCCCGAGGCCAGAGAGTGGAACCCTGACAACTAAGAAACAGCATGCAAGGAAGGATGAGACACTAGAAGGGCCTGTACATCAAAAAATGCTTTTCCTTCTCCAGGTCCCTCACCGAGGGGCCCCCCAGGCCAGTCCAAAGCGAACAAGTTGCAGCCTCCGGGTGACATAAGGTGCGGGGGTGACCGCTGAACCCCACAGAGCAGTCCGAGCCCAGCACACCCTGGAGAGCGCCATCTTCCCAGCGAGGGAGGGGTCAAAAGAGGTTTTCTTCAGGTCGTAGTTCGCAGTACGTCGCGTTCGTTTGACAACGCATGCGCTTTCCCTGGGTGCTGATTGGTAACCGTAGACCGCTCGCCTCGCGCTAATCCAGCTCCTACGAAAGCCAAAAACTGAGTACGGAAGAAAGGGTCGGATTGGACGCAGCCAGTACTTCCTAGTTTAAAGGCGCCGGAAGCGGGCTATCCCAAAGGGAGCGAGTGTCATGCCACTGGTAGGGTTTGTGATCTTGAGGACGTCCTCTCTTCGAGGGCCTAGTGACCCCTCTCAATTCCCTAGCGCCGTCCGTTGCCCTCTCTCTGTACCCCAGACTTTGGGGCCTTAAGGCGGTAGGTGCCCGAAGTCAATTTGGCAGTGCCTGGCGCCACGGCGCCTCCTGGGGGCTGGGAGGACTCGCGGCATTCTCTAGTGGTGACGGTTTGACGCTCTGGGAACTGGCCATTTCCAGTTACGGTCAGGTGGCCGGAGGCCTGGGAGCCGCCTCTGTGCAAACCAAGTCTGCTTTTTCCTGTTGTTGGGTTCCCCGGATAGGTTTGTTGGAAAATATCTCTCCTTAAGCACCTCCTGCAGACCCAACTTGGGCTTTAAATGTCACTTCCCTGAGAGGCTTTCTCTGACCAAAGTACACACATTCCCCCCCCCCATCACCCCGTGTATGTTATTTATAGCACTTAGCACGTACATCGTTTATACATTTGCTTCCTTGTTTGGCATGTTCCCGGAACGAGATTGAGGGCAAGCGTCTTGTCTTATTCACTGCTATACCCTACCCCTAACACTAGGTGCCATACCTGGCACGTACTAGGTGTGCAATAAACATTTTTAAATGAATTAATTAATAACTGAAACTGGAAAAGATTCCCAGAAGTGGCACATAGCTGCTTCCAAGAGTTAAGTCTTCTTGAGTACATTATGAATACAGGATGGGGCAAAAGCAGGGTTACAGCCGTTTGTATGGAAAACAAATAGTAATACTGCAATAATACACTGTGTCACATACACACAACCCTAAACATACTTTAGTCCTGCCCTGTACTCCCCATGAAGGATAATAGAGCATTCCATTTGGAAGCAGAGGCTGGAGTCTGGCGCCTTAGACCACTCGACCATCCTGACAAGCACCCATTTGGAACGAGGAGATCTTCGTTCAAATCTTAGCACTGCCACTTCCTTTAATATATGTGTAACCTTGGACGTGTCACTGTAGCTCTGAGTTTGTTTCCTTTATAATAGTACCAATCTTACAAGAGTTTTGTGAAGATCTAGGAAGAAAATGGTTGCGAGCGCACCCACAGCTGTAGGAGGCTTTCTGGGTCACAGAGCTTTCTGTCAGTGTGAGCCATGTACGATTGTACCACTCGTGCAGTCAGCGGAAAAGTTCTGTGCATGGGCGGCTGTCTGCAAGTGCTAAGTGGGCGGGTTACAGAGTTGACTAAAAAATGATCACTGCCTTCAGAAAATTTCCAACTCCTTTCAACTGCTATGTATCTCTTGAGAATGTTCTTTGCCCTGGCTGGTGTGGTTCAGTGGATTGAGCACTGTCCTGCAAAGCAAGGGATCATGGGTTCCATTCCTGGTCAGGGCACATGCCTGAGTTGTGGACCAGGTCCCCAGTAGGGGGCACGTGAGAGGCAACCACACATTGATGTTTCCCTCCCTCTCTTTCTCCTTCCCTTCCCCTTTCTCTAAATAAAAAGAATGTTCAGTTCTAAAATTCTAGAACACCCCTGGGAAGAAGGGGGTTAACATCAGAATTTTGTGAAGGAAATGGGAATGGAAGGAACTGTGTGGGAGGACAGAGTAGAAGAAAGGCATTCCATACAGTGAAATAGTGTGGCAGGAACATGGGAATTCATTCATTTCTTCCTCAAATATTTATGATTTAGTGCCCCTCAGGCCAATACACACACACTAAGTCTTGTTGGTTTTATTTTCTGTTTCTTCAGAGGAAACATCCAGTTTCCTTTTCTTTCCTGTGCCACTGATCTAGATGACTAGAGTAGCTTCCTTACTGGCTCCCTGTCATCTATTTTGGCTTTTCTCCAACCAGTTCTCCATACTGTAGCCAGAGAAAGCTCTTGAAACTGCAAATCTAAGCTTGTCACTTTCCTTTAAAACCTTTCACGTTTCCTCTGACTCCAAGGATAAAGTTCAGGCTCTTTAACCTGGCCTCCCTTCCCACCCTCACCCCATGTCTCATGGTATCCCTTTCTCCTTAACTTTTTATGCTAAGAAATACTGGCCTTTCAGTTCTACCAAAGGCCAAGCAACTTTATACCCCTGGGCTTTTGCACTTGTTGCTCTTTGCCTGGAGTTTCTTTCTTCCTACTAGCCTTCTAGCTTGTCTTCCAGCTAGAAATGGTAATAATAGCTAGTATTATTGAGCAGACACTATGTGCCTTCATTGTTCTTAGTATATTAAGAACATGTATTAAGTCGATCAGTCCTCACTTCATGAGGTAGATACAATTGTTAGCTCCACTTTATAAGTGAGGAAAGGGAGGTTTTAAGTAACCTACTCAAGATCTGGCCCTGCCTGGTGTGGTCCAGTGGATTGAGCACTGGCTTGAGGACTGAAAGGTTGCTGGTTCAATTCCCAGTAGGGGCACATGCCTGGGTGGTGGGCTAGGTCCCTGGTCTGGGCACATAGGAGAGACAGCTGACTGATGTTTCTCCCTCCTTCCCCCTTCTCTAAAAATAATCTTAAGGGGAAAAAAAAAGACATGAGTCAGCAGTTGGAACCAGACAGACTGGGCACATGAATTACTGCTACTTGTGTGTAAATAGCACTCTTACTGGAAACTCTTAAGCCCGCAGAGTTAGGTTTCCCTTCAACTTGTCTTGTAGCTATCTATACTTATCCTTCACAGTACTTAAAGTGATCAACATTAACAGTGGCATTATACATTTAATGACTGTATTCCCCATTTGATTCTAAGCTCATTGTATTTCTGGTCCCTAGCACAGTCCCTGGCACAAGAGGTGCTTATTAAGTATTTACTAATTGAATAAATATCTTATATATCAGAGTATAAGGTAATGTTTTTCCTCTCAAAATAATTCCTTAGAAAGGAAATTGCTTTATCTTTTGTGTTCTTTCATTCACTAATAAATAGATAATTAATTAACTAATTTCACAGTTATTGACCATCTCCCCCAGGTCTACTTAGGATAGTTTACATTATAAAATGATTGAGAGATTGTTTGGAATTTCTAAAGTGAGGCAGTACCCTTTGGGGCCTCATGTGAAGATTAGATTTGCTTGTGGACCTCAAGTGTAAAGGTTAAAGATAGGGATTTGATTTGAAAGGTACTAGGGAATCACAATGCATTTTGTCCAAAGGAATGATAAGATGAAGGCAATGTTTTATAAAAATTACTCTGGAGTTAACACAGATTAGAGTGGGAAGAGACTGGAGGTTCAGGATGTTGATAAAGTTATTTTATAAAGATCTGGATAAGAGATAGTGAGAAACCACCAGACTGCCCCCAAATGGTGACCATCTTTAAGTGGTCCCAGATTTCTGCTGCAATCAGTGGGAACCGGATTTGAGCTCCCCAATCCCATATGTCATTCAACTTGTTGTCACCATTTGCTGTTGTTCATTTGGCAGACATTTGAGGGCCTGCTCTGTAGCCCTTCTGCTAGGTTCCAGGAAAATGTCAGGGCCTTTTGCTCCAAAAGCTCAGAGGTGTAGTACAGAAGATTGAGATGCTTCAGCCCTGGCTGGAGTGGCTCAGTTGTTTAGAGCATCATCTCAACACACCAAGGTTTTGAGTTGGATCCTCTGGCAGGACATATACAAGAATCAACCAATAAATGCATAAGTGAGTGGAACAACAAATTGATGTTGCTCTCTCTCTTTTTCTCCCCCTTTGTCTAAAATCAATTGATAAATTAAAATTAAAAAAAAATTGTGCCTCTCTTACTCTCTCACTCTCTCTTGCTCTCTCCACCAGGTGAGGGCACTGTGAGAAGGCAGCAAGCCAGAAAGGCCATCAACAGAAACCAGCCCTGGTAGCTTCCTGATCTCGGACTTCCTGCATCCTGGACTGAGAAAATAAATGTCAGTTGTTTGAGCCACACAATCAATGATACTAGTCCTGGGTTTATTTACTTAATTATGTATTTTATCTTAGGTTTAGGACTCAAATACCTAGAAGGGCTAGCACACTCAAAGCAGATGAGATACAAGTAAAACAATGGGGTGTGCTGAGAACGTGCCCCCAGGGAAGGTGCCCTGGGCACTTCATCACATTGTGTCAGAGCCTCCAAATTTTTAGGTAAAACCAGAAATTCAAGTTTGTAAGGGTTAGCAACTAACTTTAAAAGATTTTAAAAGGAAAAAAATAATTATGCTATCATATGATAGGTGCTGTAACAGGAAAATGTCCAAGGTACAGTGAGAGTTAAACAAGGAGCAGTCAATTGAAAAATCCTGGTGGTTATGGTGGTGCATCCGCATGAAGAGAAGTCGGGTGTGAGCTAGATCATGGAGGATAGATTGGAGACTGACTAGCAGACAAGTATTGTGAAGAAGGGCTTTTTGGAAAAAAGGAACGGCATGCATGAAGATAAGAAAGACTGGAAAATTCAGGGAAAGATAAACCTCATGCTAGTACAGACAGTAACTGCAGTGATTTGCCACTTTTAGATACTAATTCACTCTGAGTTTCACAGGCTGTTTGGGGGCAGGTTATTCTTCCGAAGAAATTGAAAAAAAAAAATCCCAGGCTGAAAGAATTTTAATAACTGATGGTTTGTATTAAAACTTCTCTTTTTTTCTATTTTTAATATATTTTATTGATTATGCTATTAAAGTTGTCCCGTTTTCCCTCCTTCCCTCCACCCTGCACACCCTCTCCCACCCACATTCCCTGCCTTTAGTTCATGTCCATGTGTCATAAGTTCTTTGGCTTCTACATTTCCCATACTGTTCTTGCCCTCCCCCTGTCTATTTTCTACCTACC